ATTTTGCACACTGAGCGTGACAATTGTCACAAGGTATCTGTCTTGTATATGATTGTAGTGGGTGAGGTGGGGCAAGACACTGAGCGTGACAATTGTCACAAGGTATCTGTCTTGTATATGATTGTAGTGGGTGAGGTGGGACAAGCCACTGAGCGTGACAATTGTCACAAGGTATCTGTCTCTTGTATATGATTGTAGTGGGAGAGATGGGACAAGACACTGAGCGTGACAATTGTCACAAGGTATCTGTCTTGTATATGATTGTAGTGGATGAGGTGGGGCAAGACACTGAGCGTGACAATTGTCACAAGGTATCTGTCTTGTATATGATTGTAGTGGGTTAGGTGGGGCAAGACACTGAGCGTGACAATTGTCACAAGGTATCTGTCTCTTGTATATGATTGTAGTGGCTGAGGAGGGACAAGACACTGAGCGTGACAATTGTCACAAGGTATCTGTCTTGTATATGATTGTAGTGGGTGAGGTGGGACAGGACACTGAGCGTGACAATTGTCACAAGGTATCTGTCTTGTATATGATTGTAGTGGGTGAAGTGGGACAGGACACTGAGCGTGGCAATTGTCACAAGGTATCTGTCTTGTATATGATTGTAGTGGGTGAGGTGGGACAAGCCACTGAGCGCGACAACTGTCACAAGGTATCTGTCTTGTATATGATTGTAGTGGGTGAGGTGGGGCAAGACACTGAGCGTGACAAATGTCACAAGGTATCTGTCTTGTATATGATTGTAGTGGGTGAGGTGGGACAAGACACTGAGCGCGACAACTGTCACAAGGTATCTGTCTTGTATATGATTGTAGTGGGTGAGGTGGGGCAAGACACTGAGCGTGACAATTGTCACAAGGTATCTGTCTTGTATATGATTGTAGTGGGTGAGGTGGGGCAAGACACTGAGCGTGACAATTGTCACAAGGTATCTGTCTTGTATATGATTGTAGTGGGTGAGGTGAAGCAAGACACTGAGCGTGACAAATGTCACAAGGTATCTGTCTTGTATATGATTGTAGTGAGTGAGGTGGGGCAAGACACTGAGCGTGACAATTGTCACAAGGTATCTGTCTCTTGTATATGATTGTAGTGGGTTAGGTGGGGCAAGACACTGAGCGTGACAATTGTCACAAGGTATCTGTCTTGTATATGATTGTAGTGGGTGAGGTGGGGCAAGACACTGAGCGTGACAATTGTCACAAGGTATCTGTCTCTTGTATATGATTGTAGTGGGTGAGGTGGGGCAAGACACTGAGCGTGACAATTGTCATAAGGTATCTGTCTCTTGTATATGATTGTAGTGGGTGAGGTGGGACAAGACACTGAGCGTGACAATTGTCACAAGGTATCTGTCTTGTATATGATTGTAGTGGGTGAGGTGGGACAAGCCACTGAGCGTGACAATTGTCACAAGGTATCTGTCTTGTATATGATTGTAGTGGGTGAGGTGGGACAAGACACTGAGCATGACAATTGTCACAAGGTATCTGTCTTGTATATGATTGAGGTGGGTGAGGTGGGGCAAGACACTGAGCGTGGCAATTGTCACAAGGTATCTGTCTTGTATATGATTGTAGTGGGTGAGGTGGGACAAGACACTGAGCGTGACAATTGTCACAAGGTATCTGTCTTGTATATGATTGTAGTGGGTGAGGTGGGACAGGACACTGAGCGTGACAATTGTCACAAGGTATCTGTCTTGTATATGATTGTAGTGGGTGAGGTGGGGGCAAAACACTGAGAGTGACAATTGTCACAAGGTATCTGTCTTGTATATGATTGTAGTGGGAGAGATGGGACAAGACACTGAGCGTGACAATTGTCACAAGGTATCTGTCTTGTATATGATTGTAGTGGGTGAGGTGGGGCAAGACACTGAGCGTGACAATTGTCACAAGGTATCTGTCTTGTATATGATTGTAGTGGGTGAGGTGGTGCAAGACACTGAGCATGACAATTGTCACAAGGTATCTGTCTCTTGTATATGATTGTAGTGGGAGAGATGGGACAAGACACTGAGCGTGACAATTGTCACAAGGTATCTGTCTTGTATATGATTGTAGTGGATGAGGTGGGGCAAGACACTGAGCGTGACAATTGTCACAAGGTATCTGTCTTGTATATGATTGTAGTGGGTGAGGTGGGGCAAGACACTGAACGTGGCAATTGTCACAAGGTATCTGTCTTGTATATGATTGTAGTGGGTGAGGCGGGACAGGACACTGTAACCTAGCTAACACCTTGTCTCATCTCTGTATGATAGTGATTCATAAACACATGCTTGTGATGTCATTGGAATTGTACAATGGACCCTGCTTTTTGCTGAGATTTTGTAGGATTATGGAAATGGTTTTGTCTGTTTTAGTTCATTCTTCTAACCCACACTGGGGTTTTAATTGTCGAGTTCGTCACACAACGACTAGTGACTTCCGTCTGGTGTCCGCCAGATGTTACAGGTGTGCTATACCATCAATTATGTATCGTGTACCCTGTACCCACAGCAACACCTGTCATGGAGCTGGGTCATATTGACTGTTAGACATGACTGACACAATCTGATGACAAGTGTTTCGTACTTCTACATTGACATTTTAGGCGTTAAGGATAATATCTGTGGATGGATGTATAAAGTGTCACGGGACATTAATCACATTTATCCATGTTATCATTACACTAGGTGTTTTTGAAACAGTTGGACAATTGGATTGCTTATGAATATGGAAATAACACCAACATGTTATTGACAATTGTCATATCACCACCTATCAGTACACGACGTGAAGGCCCAAAGTATAATTGTCACACAGACTCTTATCGAAGTGATACCTGTAAATCAGATTAGCTTTCAGGACAATGTCATTTTTGCAATAAAATAATTTCCTGTATAATGCAATTGCACATTTGTTCTAGACAAAAATATCATCAGAATATTCGTAAAAGATATTTTAGAGTTATGATTACACATAATAGGAAACTAAGGCTTAGCTTATCTAGCTCTCATTGATCTGTTGAAAGTTTTGTTTATTCTGTCAAGTACTCTTTACATTCATCCATCATAACAGGGTGTGTTAAGATTGAAGGCCTTTTGCTGTCAACTGTCTTTCCTATACACAAGCCCTATACCAACTCAAATGAATCTTCTGAAGCAAGAGTATCCATTAGCCTATACATCAAAGTTGATAATCCACTATTAGGCTTTGATATGGACAAGTGGACACTCGTCCCTCAGGAAGATGTTATCCAACACAGTCAGCATCATGCTTCCCTTTACAAATGCCGAATTGTGTAGATCATGTAGATCGAATTGTGCTCATGCTGTTGATCACTGGATTGTCTGGTCCAGACTCGATTATTTACAGACCTCCTCCTTATAGCAGGAAATTGCTGAGTGTGGTGTAAAACTAAACTCACTCACTCACTTTACATATGCTGTTACACTGAAGCATGTGTAGAGATGGCTGTATCTGATTTCTTAACACTCTCATAACCTTCTGTATGCTTATCAATGTCCCTTTGTAAATGTCCCTTTGTAAATGTCCCTTTGTAAATGCAACATATTTAGGTTCTTAGTTGGTTGGGTTTAGTAGTGATTTGTGTCCTTGGAATCTTCAGCAGAGTTGAAATAATACATTGTAGATTCGGTTTTTTGTCTTAACACTGTATTTTAGCATGGTATTCAATGCAGTTGTGAAACATTTTGTTACTGTAAGTGAAATTACAAGCCAACATATTAGTTATAACTGCTTTAATTGGGAAAATGTAAATATTTGTTTAATGACATTTTTTTATGAGCCAGATGTGCTGTGAGCCTTTTAAGATAGATCCATGGTTGTGTTCAATGATAGTGTGGTGTGTTGGCAGCAGACCTTGGCTGCTCCTGAGCAGCATTCTGTGGAATGACGGTAAAGTTTTAGTAACATCACTTAAAATAGCATTGAGAAAATGTTTCAATCACTCATGGTTTTCATGTGTCATGTTACACTACATCCTACACATGACATGCTACATGTATAACAGACTGAACTCAGACAAGACAGATGCTATATCAGGGATGAGTCATGTAGTTTCAGGATCTGTGTTTGTGTGCTGATGTTTATGTGTTTTGTTTGAACTGTGTTATACATGACAGTGATGTAGTGTGAAATATATCCTTAAAAGAATGTAAATATCACCCAACTGTTTTATTCTAGCATGGGTAATCTGTCATGGCATGGCAGCTTCAACAACAGTAATAGGAGAGAAGCAGATGGTGTTCAGCTTCTTGAGAGTGATGTTTGATATTATGGTATTATGATTAAAGTGAAAAGACCTTTTCTATTGGATTAAAAAAATGGTGGATGTTATTGGTATTTTCATCGCATAAACAAACAAAGTAGCATGACAGTTGCAGTCACCCGGGATGTTATTATTCATATCTCTGACAAAAAGGAAGTGAGAATTTCAAACTATTAACAGTACAGGGATAACATCAGGTGTTTGTGAAATAGTCCATCCTGTGACACACACAGATGCTTGTTCATATTTTATTAGGAAATCCTTAGATTTAACAGGTTCCTTTTTAATATTTTCCTCATGTTGCTAGTACAACCTTCATGACTGACTGCACAAACAGCAGAATGCATGGTGTTTTGATGGGGCATCAATTAATTGCGTATTGATTAGATACGTCTCATAGAAACCATTAGATTTGTACTAAGAACCAATTGGCATTGATGCAGAAGTTTCTTTGTATATATTTCAATCAGTTGTTTGTACGTAAAGATACATACAGTGGAAGATTACACATGGCAAATCACCATATAGCATGTGGCGTGTAAGACTTGCTGATACATTCACCTGGATCAAAGGTACAGGTGTCTTTATTCAGTGTTTACCCTCTATTAAGGTACTCATCTGAGTTTTTGTTTTGAAACAGTCTAAATATTAAAACAGTTTGATGACTGTCATAGAATGAGTGTATAGGTATCTTCTATGTACATGTTTTCTGCCAGCAGGTGAAGGTGATTGAGGAAGATCTGACCCAGAGATTCAGCCATGGCACACCACATCTCTCAGGGAAACACCAGCAGACTCTACGTTATTTGTGTTCTAGTCATCTCTGCAATAATAGGAACAGGTGAGTGCTTTGCTTGTCATTATGTGTTACTAGGCTCTGGTTCATTTACAGTCTAGCTGTTTTGTGAGGGGATATTTCACACACTTGGCCTCCCACACTCTACAGATGCAGGTGTAGTCTTTCTAGCTTTAGATGTGTATAGAAAGTGATATTTTAATAATGAAGTTAATATATAGCATTTTTTCATAGCCATTCCAATTTTATGTATGATTGCCATAGATAATAAATGTAGTGCATGGTCATGTGAATATAGAAAATAGTCCCAATTACACAGACACCCTGTATTTTCCACATTATATCTTCTTCACATTTGAGAAAATATGTCATTAAGAAACCAGTTATTCACTTGGTTTTTGCTAATGCAGATATTTCAGCATATTCTTAGCATTTGCATAACATGTACGTGCCAAATGAGCCGTGGACTTTGACATAATGAGTAACACTTGGCACCAATCATGGAGATCTGTATGATCACTGAGGGAACACACGTCTTGTTTACAAGTACAGCTGTTTGCTGTCACTAACATGTGTGTCGTGTATGCGTTACTGTTCACTCTGTGTGAGCCTGACTCATTTTACTCTCACAAACACTGAATAAAAATAATTGTTTCAAGGTCATGATATATCGTTATTTCACAGCATATGACTAATGATAGACTCAGCGTGACTTTGGTTTTTAGTTTTTGAGTTATTGTGTTACTCAAAATGGATGCGTAGGCAGGCAGCTTTATATCAGGGAAAGTGTTCATTTCAACCCAGATCGTCTGCCTATGGGCAAGACCAGATCATTCATTAGAAATACTTATTGATGGAAGTATGTTCTTATAAGGAGAAGAATATACTGGAAATAAGTTCACAGACTGTAGAAGTACTCCAGCAATATCATAAGGAATACCTGGAAGGGGCTACACATATTTTAAGTCAAACCCGGAGCCCCGTTCTGATGGTAGAAGGATTTGACAAACACGTTTATGGCAAAGTCAGTAGTATGAATGGATTCTGTGGCTCTCTGTGATATCCTTTGATTATGAAACTGGCTTTGTTACCTTTTTGTATAACATATGAATGTACTGAAATAACTGGACGGCTATGTGTGCATGATACCGGTACACATACTAATTGTGCATTGTGAAGATACATCTATGAGAAGTACATAACCTAATACAAGTTGCAGCACACAGGTATAATCAGTGATAAATTCATGCGCCAAATGCCTACAAAAGGATTTTCAGTTCACATTCATATACACGTGGCAAGTACATCTGACTGGAGTTAATAGAGTTTCCTCTGTGTAATTAACTGTATATATATATCTTCCTAAATAGAATGATAAGTTAACATAGAGGTTCTAATGTATCAGATTACTATAAAAGTATACACCAATGCTCATGCCATACAAATATACTCAGTTCAAGATCTTGCACAATTACATATTCTTTTGTAATCCACATAATGAATTAAACTTTCACATTTAGAAGACAGGTTTAACCACGACACCCATTGCTATTCTATGCCTCATTTAAACAGGTAATGACCTATAATGGTTGAAGAAATCTCTCTTACAAAACAAGCTTTCTGATTTATTTGTATCAATTTACCTATTCTGCAGGACAGGTGAGCCTGATACGTACTTGTCAGCATCTAAACCAATAGCAGATCTTACTGCTCATGCATATTATATATGGGAACCAAGCCAGAGTTGTTCTGAGTAGGGTGTAGGCAATGTGCTTAATAATGTAAAGAAGGTATCAAATTTCTGGGTGCTTCTTGTTGCCAGACCCAGGGCTGAAGTGGGATCAGGACTATGGTCATGCAGTCTTCTCATTACTCATACTGTAATTAGGAATCAATCAGGTGCCCTGTACACAAGTTGACCTGAAGGGCATGTATGATGGTCAATAAAATCTAGCCTGTCCAGTCTAGGCCTGCTTGTATCTATATTAATGCTAATACAAGCTATTCTCTGTGTCAAACCAGTAGTCACAGTAGTAACATACTTATAACAGTCAGGTACATATATATGTATGCATGGCTACTGAGATGAAGCTGAGAATTAATATATGTGAATATACGGAACAGTAAGCTGCAAATAAATTAGAAGCTTCCATTCTCGGTTTTGGGTATTTTTCCTATATTTTATCAATTTTCTTTGTCTTGAGGCGTAAGTCTTCCTCCTATTAGATTGGTAAAATTGGATGTATTACATATCTTAATACCATTTTGATTTGAATCACACATTTACATATGTAGGTATAGGTTTACAAATGCAAACATACATGATTAATTAGTAATGTAAATATATGCCTATGTATGTATGTATGGATATCATTGTAGATATATCGAGCATTATTTCATTGCCAAAGTAGAAATTAAGCCCTAAACCGTTTCATGGAAATCGACTTAGACGTTACAATTTCTTTCTCATGGACTCAGTGACCCATACAATTTTTTATTCTTTATTAGGAGATTTGAAACTTTGAGTTGTCCACACTTCTTCCAGATGAATGTTTGCTAGTTGTGTACAGTGCCTAGAGCTCTGTGGATGCTAAATGTATCTATCATGTATGAACATAGTAGGGGCAACTAGCATCCATGCTATGTTTTAAATACAGCTTCATCTATCAGTTTAAGCAAATAAGGGAATGATGAACACTATATCATGCATACCTTTCTCTCTTATACACAACAAGGAACTGTCAAGGGTATATATCCATCAGTGTCGAAGGAGGAAGATACCCACGCTTTTCATTGGTGGTCTAAACATCATATGCGTCATGTTTGTTTTTTATAAGCAGGATTCTAGGTAATCTCTTACTTGCTAACATCAGTGTTGATATGAGGGATTACACGCCTGTTGTGTTAAAATTCTATACATTCTCCGGTTTTGTGGATGCATTGCTATTTCAGCTTTAAGTGAACTTACTTCAACAAAAATATTCTTGTCATCATTTTTGGTTGATAAAAAATGAAACGAGAGATAGTTCTTACACTGCACTGATACAGAGCCCACTCAGGATTTGAATGTAAATTCCAACTGAAATCTGTTAAAACTAAGTATCTGAAGTATTTCATCCTTGCACATATTAACAGTATTTAGAATATAGATAGGGTTTGCAAACATTGTCTGACATTAATTCTGAATATAATTTTCTGAACATTAAAATTCATTTATGTGTTTTAGACTGTTTGAGTCTGAGTGTGAGAATTCATTGGCTGTTATAATATTTGACAGTTTACTTAAAAATTCACATGGAGAACCATGTGACTAGGAACACTTGAAGCATTTCCATCCACTGTGGCAGTATTTCAAAGATGGCTGCCATGTCGTCTGCTCATGTAATAATGTATGCTACAAATCCCTTTTGGAACATGGAATACTAAGCACTTTTTGTCATGGCAGCATGAACTGGCTTAGTGCAGAAGGGATTCCTGTCCTGGTTTCTCAATGAAATGCTATGCTGAGATGTTTGAGAGAATAACAAATGTAAATCTGGTGCCCAGCTGGAGACTTACAAACAAATAGAGTGAGGAGAGTTTGTAATGTTCGACATCTTAAAATTGCTCTGCATATTTGCCATCATATTAACCAGCTTTATAGGAGGAAATAGGAATGACAAGCACTAACTGTTTACTGGTAAATACTTGGGATCGCAGACATATATGTTATGATTTATGCAAATGTTCCCTCACAAAGGATTGCAGAGTAAGCATCATGCTTCTGTGGAAACAGTTTGAAAATTAATATTGGAGTTTTATGTTAAGATGAATAGTTCAAATATACCAACAATGTTTTAAATACAGTAAATTCTTGTTTACTTGATACCAATCACAAGAGACATTTTTGGTGAAAAATGACATTGTAACTTCTAAATTATTTAAAACTACACTGTCTTGTGAACACACAATTACAAGTCACCAGCTTCAGACATACATTGTACAAGGCATCAAACAGTTGGATATTTTTCTGCACCATCACATTTTCAGACGTAATATAATAACTCTGTGGTTGGTATATGCAGCTTTATGACTGATCAAAAGTACACACCTATGTTTCAATGTTTTGAAATAGTGGTTTTATTACATTATGAGTTAAATAACAGAAAAGAACATATTTTATACTGTCCACAAGCATGGTAATTTTTACAGTAGTTAGTTGAAGTCAACTGTCATTATGATGTCACAATACAGTAATGTACCTTTCCTTGTGGTAGGCCAGTAATGTTTCATTCATGGTAATGCACAACAGTGCTGATATGTATTTGGATGGGACAGTAAACTTCAACTGCTTTATCTATGTAATAGATTAGATAATAGAATAATATGTTATATAACTATGTGGATATTTACGGTTTAGTTGACATGCTTACATGAAATTGTATGAAATCTATTTGTGGCATCATAACTTATGTGTTTCTTATTGCTAAACCAGATCATAGAAATATAATAACTGAAAATGTTTCCTATTTCAAGAGTGAGTGAGTATAGTTTTACACCGCTTTTAGCAACAATCCAGCAATATCACGGCAGGGGACACCAGAAATGGGCTTCACACATTGTACCTGGGTGTTCGGCGTGATGAGCGAACACTTTAACCACCAGGCTACCCCACCGCCCCCATATTTCACGAACAAATTTGAATCAAACTTGACTAAGATATATTTAAGAAATCATCAATTTTTTTATATTCTTTGCATAGTATCTTTGGTTTCAATGAAATTTATTTTTGTGATTTTGAAATATTTTTGATTGGTTCAGTTCAGTGCACAGTAAAGGTCCTACTAGTAACCTACTGTGTTTTGTGTGTGTGTCTATACTCACGATTCATCACTAACTCATCACATCATGTCTTGTCCTCACTAGCTGTCAATCAAGGTAAGGTTGCCATGGTTACACATATACGTGTTATACATAACATAGATTTCCCAACTAGATTACCAGTCCTGTCATAGGTAGATGATAGTTCATGAGAACCAAATCTTGCTTATTTTTTCTGGCTTTGTGTTTCATTGAGAATAAATCATATTATATTTATATTATATATTATCAAAAATATTTAACTGTTCTATGTTTCAACAAAATAATTTTGCTATGATATTGTGTTTATGTTAATTAGTTTTCTATTTTGATAGATATGTAACAGTTTGCCCACCTGATCCTAAAGATATTTTTAAGTTGAACGTGTATCTGCATGTATGTATGTGATAGATTGCCCCTAGATAGTGATATACACTGTGTTTGTACAGTGATGAAACACTGGATACATCTGAATATATAATCACTTGAGTGAATGTTACTACTTTCAAGTGAAATAATAACAGATGTCAGAACTACTTTCCATCTGCCCGACAGATTTAGATCACTGAGAATACACACTGAATGAAAAATGAGTATTTTCAGGTTGAATACCAAGTTATGTCACAAAACATGATGGTTGATTAAAGTGTGAAATACAGTTGTAGTGATGTTCCTTGTGATTATTATACATGTGAGTATGTTAAGTGAAGAAACATGGAGGTTTCAGATCCATTAGACACACATTACTGAAAAGCAAATGGGATGTCATTTCTACAATATGACAAGACAGGTATTCTAAATAAAGTTATACCCCAAAAGATTATAGCGTCACTGTACTATCAGTATAAAGTATAAACTAAGCCATTTCAGTTAAATTTGTTTCAGTGACAGTTGTTGAGTTATCAGAATTCACATCAAATATAGACGCTTAACATGGTATCAATGTTGTTCAGGAAATGTCAACATACAAGAAACACTGTTCATGTGTGTTATTAAAAACATCTTGTCTGGAGGAACCTGGATTCCCAGATACTTCACAAGTGTGTGTGAGCTCTCATGCTTGTTGGTAAATGGATTTTCATAAATTTAGGCCAAGCTGTAACTATTCTTTTGTAATAGTTGTCAGTTGTATATTCTATTATTTAATGTAACATAAAGGGTTTGTATCATGAATTAACATCCTAGTTTTTGATGATTTTATGACTTACAAGCAGTCTGTAGTACCATGTCTCTATGGTTATGAACCACACCACACTGCTAGACCTTGTGAAATAGATCGCTTCAGAGTGTTTCGTGTACATTACACAGTCATGCATTTATGTGTCTACACTGGTAATTTGCCTGTGGCTGTGTAAAGTGAGAATTTGACTGTGAACAATGGGGAAAAAGCAACTTATTTTGAGTCAGATATTATCTTAGTTTTCTCCATGTGGAAATAAATGAATTGATTAAAAATAGTCAGTCAAAGTCAAAAGTCAAAAAGAAACCCATAAGACATGTTATTCCCCTCTGTCTTTTTTAAATTTCTCCATACAGTTTTCTTTCCATACAAACCTCAAGGATTTCTACTTTCACAAGGTTTATATCCAGTGTTCTTTTGTTGATGCTGATGTTGGTGAACTGGCAAATGTGAATGGTGAGATTACATGTCAGTAACAAATTATATTATTCTGTTTCAGTTGTCTCAAATGACCCTCCTCAGCTAAGAAATTTTGGGGGTGTTATGATATGGGCTGAAGACACTCCAATAGGTAAGAGAGTTGATGCAACTGATATGTAGGTAAGACAGTTTCTAGATATTGAGATGTATTGTTAAAGTGAGACTGGGCTGTGGTGTCCAGGGAGTAATTGGTGAAAGAAGACAAGACTGTTCATGTTTAGTGTAGGTGTAAGCATCCTGTGTGTCCATCATGGTTCCTCTGTACTTTGGGAATATGTACTCACAGATTAAGCAAGATGAATAATTTCAACTGGATGCTTTACAACCATCCAGACATTGGTGTTTAAATATTATATGCTTTTCAGTTAAGAATATTTTATTTATGTAAAGTTATTGTGATCTGATATTTGATGGTGATCATAATGGTGTTGTAGATACCGTCCTTGGCAACCTCACAGCGGTAGATTCTGATGGGCCAGAAGATCTGAAGTTCAAAACTTCAACAGAGGAAACCAAGTCGTTGGTGTCCCTAAACGCTCCGCGGAAACTAGATCCCAACACTTGGATAGTTGACATTCTCCTTAAAGCTGCACTAGATAGGGATTATGTGAGTTATTGTACTTTGATCACTTTATTCAGAATTGAAGGCCATGTGGCCAAGAGTACAACAGGTAATACAACATTGTCATGGTGTGTAGAGTTGAAATATAATTCATAATACAATTATTTTAACGTAGGTTTTGCTTCAGGAATATACATATTCCTTTAAGAACAGTGACACTGTGTATCTTCATAAAGGCTCGGAATTTGACAATTGAAGGTGGGCTGTAGAAATAGGCTGGAATACATTGGGATCTGCATCGGTTATAAAATGGACATACAATGGACAAACGTTGTTTTTTGTATATTCAAGTTATGTGATTGGCATTGGAATTTGATCAACATTCGCATAAGATCTTTGTTTAATGTGCCACAGGAATTATACAGTTCAGGTTCAAGGGATTATGTGAGTTATTGTGCTCAAGAATGTATAATGGAAAGCAATTCTTTGATTATGTCAAACCTCAAGCCCAAAATATACTCATGAAAATGAATTTGGGAACACATGAAAGTACAAATGTTCTTTTATTCTATTCCAGGTTTCTTCACAAGTTATGTATTGAACTGTGGGTGAAATTCTGGAAATAAATAAAGAAACACTTGTACTTTCATGTGTTCCCTTATTTCGTTTCCATGAGTATATATACTTTCAATATAGACAGAGGTACAGAAAGTTAGGGTTGTAGAGATTCAGGATGATTGAATTTAGTAAATTATGTTTGTGTTTTGTGTAAGTGTGTTCAAAGTAAAATCTGTTTTATTTGTTTTCAGGAACCTAGTGAAAGAAAACTATTTTTCTCAATAGATGATTCTACAAGTGAGGTAAAACCTTTTTTCATAATTAAACATTTATTTTTTGAATTAGTACTTCAAAATCTTCTCATGAGATGACAGAGAAGATTAACTTCAACTGGAGATGCTTCTTGTACATGTGAAAATAGTGACATGTTTGTTTCCTTTTCTGTTTGGAATGAAGTAATTATTCACCAGTCTGTTGTGTAAAAGTCATCAGTTAGATTTAGTTAAGTATGTTGCAGGTGCAGATCAGACCAAATTTTGGAGGCTTGATTGTGTTTGTAGGTGTTTGGGTCTAACACAGGCTGAAACACTTTCACCACATTGGGTGTCTCCTCGGGCAGGCAAAACACATTCAGCGCATACGTGTCCACTTGAGCAGGCGACTTTGTTCAAAATATGCCTGTGTTTTGAATTGGTCGGATGATCGGGAAATGTGACTGATCATGGATATTACAATCAAGTGCACACTGATGGATGGACCAGGCTAATGATCTAGCATACTGAACATGATGTGGGGTGTGGATTTTTGCACATTTTAAATATGCACCTTATTGTTATGTATCCATTACTTCAGATGATTTTGTTGTAGGTGCCGGCCCGATTAACGTTATTCATCAGGGACGTGAATGATGTCAGGCCTCAGTTTAAAGATATGCCATACAAAGCTACAATAAATGAGGTGAGGGGAACTACAGTTTAACAAGTCATTGCCATGGGGGTATTATGTTACTTAAGCAACATCCAAGAACACCAAAATAGGCTTCATCAATTGAAACCTGGAATAACGACATGACAAGCAAGTACTATCCCACAATCCTACAGTTTGTACATGTCTCAGTGTACATAACTGACCCATGAAGATCCAGGTTAGAATTGGTCTTCAGCAATCCGTGCTTGTCATTAACGGGATCGGGTGGTCAGGCTCGCTGACACATGCAATCATATCCCAACTGTGTAGATCGATGCTCACGATGTTGATCACTGGATTGTCTGGTCCAGACTCGATTATTTACAGACTGCTGCCATATAGCTGGCATATTGCTGACTGCGGCACTAAACAAACAAACTGTACATGTCTGTCTGTGTTCCAGAGTGAGGCTGCAGGATCAGTAGTTTTCACTGGGGTTAGCGCCACTGACCCTGACAATGGCAGAGGAGGAACCATACAGTATTCCATGGAGGTAAGACACGTTATTTACAGAGACGAAGCCCAGAATAAATAATGCACTTCTAATTTACCTATTTCAGTTTGTATCATTTCATGTTCATTATTACATATGTGTATAATTAATTGAGGAGTACTTGTTGTGACTCTATCCCCCTCCTGTCAATGTAGACTGACGCCCAGGCTGCAGATGAGGACTACCGTACCACCTTCCAGATTGACCAGTACTCTGGGGTCATCAAAATCACAAGGCCACTGGATTATGAGAAGCATAATTTCTACCAGTTCAAAATCAAAGCAGTTGTAAGTAGAAGAGAGGATTCAATGCAATAATTTGTATTCATCACTAAAAATACTAAACTGTGGTATATTTTCGGGTATCATAGACAAAATTAGTGTCAAAAGATTGTAAATGTAAATGAGCATCTGCAAATTGAATGAGAAGATACTATTCTATTATTCCTAAGTGTGAATATTTATTTATCATGTCAGATGTTTGTTGAGTTGTTGTTAGGGTACAAATTTTCTTTACTTGACCCAGTTTGTACATGAACATTAATGTATATGAATAACACTAAAATATATACTGAACACTCAAATATGGCATAAACATAAAGCACATGATGAACACCCAAGTATATCATGAATGCTAGAGTGTATCATGTGTTGTGCAGGATGGCTGGGGTTTGGAAGGAGAGCCAGCAGATTTTGTGGTGACTGTCCTGGATGTTCAAGACACACCACCATACTTCATCAATCTGCCATATAGCGGGGAGGACAGTCAGGTGGATGAAAATGTCACAGTGGTGAGTGTCTTTCAACAAACGTTACAGGAAGGAATTAGCATACAATATGTTTTTATGGATAACAACTTCTTTATTTTGTGAGTGGTGAGTTCCATATTGTCTCTCAACTTCTAAAAATGCCACTCAAACAAGGAATTAGCATGTCATTTTCTTCATCTTGTTAGTACCTGAACTACAAGGATCAATATAACAGATGTAGAATGTCAACATTGGACAATAACAAGTCTTGCTCATCAACAGATTCCATTTTTGTGTAAGAGGCAAAATATCTGGGGAAATTATTTGTGGATGGGTCACTGAAAATCAGTGATGACACCAGGTGTTCTTGAAAAGGGGAGCATGTGAGGAAACATTGCCGTACATGAATATTGAATATACCTACATACACAGTAACATTTCTCTGTGGCTATGATTGGTTAACTGGGGCAATGGTTTTCTGATTTGATCATTGCAACTGTACTGTTGGAAACTGTAGTTATTAACACGGCACTTTTACTGTGATGATTGTGCTAGAAGAGTCATCCTTCAGTTGTGTCATTAGCACAGAAAAAACATCACTGATAGGATGTAAATGTTAGACCCAAACATGGAGCCTAAATGTAGGGATTTTACTGTCTTTTCATTGATCTGGATTCTGAACCTGATATGATGCACAAATGTGTTCATCATGTTTGCTGTGACTATATGCTCCTGTACTTGTCTCTGAATCCAGGGCACAGCTATACTGCAAGTATCTGGTTTAGATGGAGACAGGGGAATTCCTAACAACCTCACATACAGATTTGTCAGTGGTGAGTAGCTCTTTTGTGTTTACAGAGTAGGCACATAATTAAGTATGAGTCATTAAAGTCACCCACTGAGGAAGTACACTCCTAGATGACAGCATTTCTGCTTCAAAATGGTGTACTTCCTGGAGAATTGTAACTTCTGTGTTTTTTGCTCTATTGTTTTCACAACATTTTTCGGCTAGCTCTTTCCTCTTCATCATGTGAGCATGCATTCATTCACCTGAAGAGGGATCTCTGTGGCCATCCATGGCTTACCTCAGAAACTGACTCTTGTCTTTTCTGCAGGTGACTTCCAGAACTTTGACCTGGATCCCCACTCTGGATGGATCACCGTAAAACACCCTTTGGACCGGGACTCTCAGAATGTGAGGAACAGAGGAGGGGTGTATGCCTTCTATGTGGAGGTAAGCAGTCACATATTTTTGGAAAGGCTTCATTTTCCGAATTATCTGTAATGAAGCTACATATTGCACCAGTTATTGGGTGTGTGGTTTCATTAACCATCAACATGAACAGTCACATTAGTTATCATGTCTTAAGGTCATTACTGCTGATGCAAATTAAAGGTTTACAGTAGAATAAATATCATTGATGAATAGTAATCTATTTGTTTGGCCACAGTTAATATTATAAATCATCTACTGCAGATTTGTCCTAAAGAGATTCCTTTGTAAGAACTAAGGTTGATTTGGGCTTTTAATGTGTAAACAATTCTACAACAGGCAGCAGAGGTGATTCCACCAGGACAGGTGAACACCAACCAGACGACGGAGACGACCCTTGTCACCATCACTGTGCGGGACGTCAATGACAATGACCCAGTGTTCAGCCAGCCCTCCTATAATGCCAGTATCTTGGAGAACATGCAGAACGTACCCATCACATTTCAGCAGGAAGTCATGAGAGTCTCCGATGCAGATGAGGTGTGTTGGTAGAACCCAGTATTGAAAATAGCACAATGGTTAACACACACAACATGAACAATGGTGAACACAAGTTTGACTTAACCCATGTTCAATTTTGGTTCATTTTAAAAGTATCTTTTAAGTAATCTGATACCTGAGTGATCAGTGTTTAAGATGGCTATTGAGCTCTAAGTGTAAAGGTTGGAAGACTTGAAGCAACACATCCTGACATGTCAAGATGGAATTCTCACTCTGCACATGACTTCTGGCCAGTTACAACTTCAGTGTAGTAAACCTCAGTGATATTGATGTCAGTGTTTTCTTGGATTAAACAGGATGGTGGGGTAACCTAATGGTTAAAGCGTTCGCTCATCACACCGAAGACTCGGGTTCGATTACCCACATGGGTATAAAGTGTGAAGCAAATTTCTTGTGTCCCCTGCCGTGATGTTGCTGGAATATTGCTGAAAGCGGTGTGAAACTAAACTCACTCACTCACTCTTGAAATTAAACACTTATTGGAATGGGTGAACATTTTCAAAAGGGATTCAGCAGACATACCATCATGACCTAGACTTAACTTTGTAAGTCTAATGTTGGTCATAATTATTGGAGTATTCATAATATTAAGTGTCTATAGTCTAGCAGCACAGTGTGTGCTCTTATACCATATACATCACATGTCCTTCATCCTTGTTCCACTCTTTTCATTGTATTTGCATGAACTGACTGACTGAGTATAGTTTTATGCCGCTTTTAGCAATATTCCAGAAATAACACAGCGGGGGACACCAGAAATGAGCTTCACACATTGTGCCCATGTGAGGGAATCGAACCAGTATTTCCATGAAATGCTTAGAAAGTACCAAAGTAGTATTTGTACTGCATAGTTCTTAAAGACATTCCTTCTTTTATCTTTATTCTAAAATTTTAAGACCCGTGAAGATCCGGGTTTAGAAGTGGTCTTCAGTAACCCATGCTTGTCGTAAGAGGTGACTAATGGGATCGGGTGGTCAGGTTCGCTGACTTGGTTGACATGTGTCATCATATCCCAATTGCGTAGTACAATGCTAATGATGTTGATCACTAGATTGTCTTGTCCAGACTTGATTATTTACAGACCACCACCATATAGCTGGAATATTCATGGAAAATATCTCTCTTTTGTTGCAGGGAACCAACAGCCACTTTGCCCTGTACATACAGAAGGATGGGCAGCCATACCAGGACTTCATGCCATTGCCCTTTGAGGTGTATTCGGAGTCCACTGTCCTCATCAAGGTGAACAACTCCCAGGAACTGGACTATGAGAAGAACCACCAGCTGGTGTTTCAGGTAGGGGCAGAGCCCACATGTACCCCTATCTCTCATACCTTAACATACTACTCTGGACATAGTTTGTGGAAGGGCACAGATGACCTTCATGCCTCACCATTTAGCTCTATCAGTTGGAATTTATTGCTTTTGCTGATGTAACGTAGGATTTAGCAAAGTGAGGTCAAATTGGGTTTTATTGTCTTTCTCAATGTTGTTGTAATTATATAGGGTGCTTGTGTCCATGCTTGTGTGCATATTTATGGGCCTGTTTGTACTAGTCCAGACTTATGCTAGTTCTATAGTGCTTGCCCACTGAGATTCAAGCCTACAGATCCTTGTTTTTATCCCCTTAATGTCAAGCTCCATCTTCTGGTATGATACGGTCAGGGGTTTGAGCCACCGACTGTCAGCTCTCCAGGCAGACATGTCCACCATGGAGGCAGTCCTCAAGGTTTATGTATTGACCATGTTATTTTACTCACAGGCTAATCATGCCTGACTTGACTTGGATAAGGAGGTCATGAGGTAGCACAGTGGGTGAAACACTTGTACATCAGGCCCCATGTGGTATGACTACAATAAGGCTGTATTAAACCATCCCCACCTCACTGGTGTAAATCAACATGTTTCTCATGGTCTAGTTATGGCTCCAGTAAGATTGAGAAAGGTTGATAAATACAAGAAACTGAGTTACTTGCAGGCTGGGGACATGATGGTGTGCTAGTAGATCAATAATAGCTGCTGATTAATGATTAAACAGGAATAACTGATATGTGACTTATGTTTTCCATTTACTAGCTCTCTTGTCATTAAGAAGGATGGTCATGTGACCTGAAGGTCATGTTTGCGTGGTACATAATTGTTTGTCCCTGTGTATGTGTGGTGATAATAGATGACGGATCTATATGTGACAACACGTGGTATTGATGATGGTGTTACTTAACTGTAGACATCAAAGGAAAGTATTGATCACCTGATGGCTTGTCAATAACTAGCGTCAGTGCTGCATAACCAGATATATGCTTTATATGTTTAGAACCTTAAGAACATTTGTCTGTTTCTGTGCCTCGAGTTAATGAACTCAATTGTTATAAGTGGGTCAGAAATAACTTCACAGACCGCTTGCATAACCATAGAGACATTAAACCTAAAGACAACAGAAACACAACGTCTGTGACATCATTCATAAACACATGACCTGTCCACCCAACTGGCAGTCAATCAAACTGTGGTGTGTTTTAATTGATTTTTCTGTTAATGAAAACATAAACAAGAAAGTTAATGTCTGCCAATTAAAAGCCACAAAATCACTTGCAATTTATTTTAGTTTTACCTAACTATTGCTGGCTGAATGACATCTTCATGTAACTGTTAAGAACATGTTTTCATGAGTGAGTTTAAATTTAGGTTGCTTTTAGCAATATTCCAGCAATATCACAGCAGGGGACACCAGAAATGGGCTTCACACATTGTACGTATGTGGGGAATCAAACCTGGATCTTTGGTGTGATGGGTGAACACTTTAACCAGTAGGCCACCCCACTGCCCCTATGTTTTCATGAGCTAACATCTTAACTTGTAGTGTTTACACTTTATCACCTTGAGAGCCTCAGATTGTTAGTTTGGTGGACTATTTCTACATTATGATTTCAGTATGTATAGTTGCAATAAGAGTTATCTGTTATGGATGTGGTGAGTTGCAGTGTTTTCTACTTGCTGACTGACTGGCATCATATCATAGTGATTGCATTGTTGATCTTCTCAACTGGACACTTTCAGCTGAAGCTGTCCCACTACAGAAATCCTTGTGCTAGCTACAGTGTAGAACAATTGACATCTACATATGTGATACGGTGTTTATTCCACAGGTGGTTGCTAGGGAGTTGGATACACAAGACATGCGATCCAGCACAGCAACTGTGACTGTCAACATTGAGGATATGAATGACAATGCTCCAGTGTTTGCCAACGACACCTATCTTGTGAGGCTGAAAGAGAATACCACCATTGAAACAAGTGTTGCTCTTATCAATGTAAGTCTGGGAGGTCTTTTATAGTTGATGTGAATGATATAGGTCAGTATAACATGAGGCTGGTACCTGGCAGGATGTTACCTTTTATATGCTGTTTACATGTACTTGTAAGTGACTGAGAGAACTAGAAAGAGATCATTCTGATTTTATACCATTTTTGGGATCAGCTCCACTTGAATGACTAATTAAGCATATTTTTTTCTTACACTATCAGAGATGGGATATTTTGTTCAAAGTGAAAAGTGATTTCATATCTTTGACAGAAACATGCTGAGTAATCAGTTTCATGTTACTATTTCTCTTGCACAATTCAACACATTTATGGGAAATTGCATGTCATACTTGTCATGAATGCTTGAGGACACGTGAAAATGTTGATATGGACTTGAAAAATATACATTAGTACTACATTTTGAAGTTATGCATTTTTCAGTGTATTGACAAATGTTCTGTCAATAGCCAGAGACTGATGACAATGTTGTTTGTATGTGTGTTTTGCAGGCTACTGATGAGGATTCAGGCATCTTTGGCACCGTGAGATACACAATCAGAGGGGGAAACAATAAGTGAGAAACATATATTATATCATTCAATTATAAGTGATATCTGTTCAGCTATGACAAGAAATATTGTGGATAAGAACATAGGTTTCAGTGCTACTCCTTGCCCTTTTGCTGAATTGATATTGCATCACATTTCACTTGGTCAAAAGGCAACATGTAGCAATGGAAACTTGGTATGCATAATGTAGAAGTCATTGTTCATAATATTCCTTGTCATTGTTATATCCAACTTCTTAATGCCATTAATGAGTCTAACGTTCAAATTATCGATTATGGTTTGATTGGTATGTACAATTTATCAGTGTAGAGTTAGTATCTGCCATACTTGGTTCCACTGGCTGTTGGCTGTAAACTGCTGGGCTAAAGAAAGTATTTGGTTATTAATCTTCTCACCAAAGTGGAAACCTTATACCATGTTTATGGACGTCAGTACAGACACAAGCTGACACACTGTTATATAACTTAATGCCTCAGTATTGAACACAGTGTTATTATATAGTCGAGATTGGACAATGAACTGTGCTTTTAGCAGAGATTTCTAATAGTTAAGTACTGATTTGCTACTTTTCATCTTTGTATAATGCAAGTGTAGCGGCCGTAAAATTTCTGAGTCCCGTGCTGGGATTCGAACCACGAACCTTCTATGCCGAAGTCGGATGCCTTGTCCACATGACCAAAGAGGTTTAACCCCTTTGGTCATGTGGACAAGCGTCCGACTTTGGATCAGAAGGTCCGTGGTTCGAATCTAAGCACGGGACTCAGAAATTTTATGGCCGCTACACAAGCATTATTTAAAGATGCTTCACAAGTTTCAGCTGTTTACACAATGTGAGTGTAAAGCCACTTGAGACATTCCATTGATATCATGGTGTGTTATCTTGTAGGTACATTTATAAACAATATCAGGATGAATCTGGGATTCCCAGATTAGTTTTCTGAAATACCTATGGGACACAGCTCTATGCAACAAATTGTATCACTTCAGGTCACTGAGCGAAACTGACAAGAGCCTTTGTAATGAATGTGATATATACAACTTATCTAACTTCATTTCCAGGTTTCGTATTGGCCTTGAATCAGGGGTCATCTATGTATCGGGTGACCTTGACCGTGAGACAACCGATGAATATTACCTGACAGCAGAGGCCAAAGATGGTGGTGGCCTGAGGACACCAGTGGAGGTGAAGGTCGTCATTGAGGACGTCAACGACAATGCTCCGATGTTCAGACGGCAAGCATATGAAGCCACTGTGAGAGAGCGTGATGCAGACTTCCTCAGGCCATTGATTGTGGAGGTGAGCGGAGATTCTGGTAGATGCGCAGAATTAAACTAATATTATGACTTTGGTTGAAATAAATATTGGGTATTATTGATCTTTTTTGAGTGTCAATAATTTTATGATGTGTTAATATGGAATAAAATTTCATCATCTTCAAATTCCCTAACATCATTGAGAGAATTATTTAAAACTCATTATTTAAAGAGTTTACTCTACAGTGAGTGGGTGCTTTTGCATATGAGACTCTATGCATCATTACATTGTAATGACCATTTCAAGCAGTTTAGAGAATTCTAAATAGAACTTATTCTTGATCAGGCTCTAGATGATGATGAAGCCTTGACCAACAACAGCGAGGTTCGGTACAGAATTGATAGTGTTCCAACTGGACTAGAGAGTAACTTCAGCATTGATCAAGTCACAGGCAGAATCTGGGTGCAAGATCCTCTGGACTATGAAAAACTTGACCCCATGTTGAAGGGCAAGGTCGCCATGCAGGTCATGGCCTATGACCTTGGGGAGCCACAACAGACCAGCACAGTTCGAGTTGATATCACAGTGGAGGTAACTACAAGTCAAATCTTGTAATTCTTTAGTTGCCAAATTAATTTTTTGATTACTTAGAATTCAGAGTATGGAAAGAATGTAGACTCACCACACGTCATACCATAGCATGTGACAGGAAAGATCTGTACATTATAATGTTTACTATTCTCACAAAGAATCTGAGGAAATCATTTCTTTTTTTTTCAGGATATGAACGACAATGCTCCAATATTTGAAGAGAACTATTACACTATTAGTGTGCCGGAAAACTCAACTCAAGGTCAGAGAATTTTTGAATGCACGTTTTGTTTCTGTAAGAAAATCCACTGAGGCAGCCAGAGGCGACCTAAACTTGCCTAATCATTCCAGACTTGATTTGGACTCCTTTTTAATCTGTTAATTGAAACAGTTAGTGTGTGATAAATATGTAAATGAAAGCCTCCTCTATATACGGACCCCTTTATCTATGCAAGAAGCAATCATTTCACATACTATGTAAGTTTCTAGTATTTGCATAAAGAGTGAGTGATTGCGTTCAAAGCAGTGTTAAGTGAAACTCACCCATGACATTGTATTATTCACATTCTTTCAGAAATCCAAGCACCACTAACGGGTATGAAGACAGATTCTGTTCGGGAACTAAGTATGAAATATTCCTGTTTCAGGTTCAGTCCTATTGAATGTAACAGCAACTGACATGGATATTGGGAGTCCCAACAATGAGTTCATCTATAGAATTGAAAACGGTGCCATGGATAAGTTCCGAATTGATTTCGAGACTGGTAGCATATATGTAGAAACAGGTGCTAAACTAGATCGAGAGGAAAAGAACGTCTACATAATGAATGTGTCAGCCATCGACAACGGCACCCCACCTAAGACTGGCAGGTGTGTTGTCATCATCAACCTAACAGATGTTAATGATAAATTACCTGTATTTACACCTGAAAGCCAGTCGAGGACCGTGATGGAGAATTTGAGTGTAGGAACAACTGTACTGACCTACAATGCTACAGATGCTGACATAGACAGTGTACTTGAGTACAGTGTGTTGAAGTCACTGACCAAGGCCTACAACGACCGCAACGATGAAGTGGATGTACAGACTAACAACATAACAGTGAGTTCTGTGTACTCTTGTTGCATACTCCTATAATCTCTGTTCCAGTCATATATTCAAAGAGGTGCCACATTAACATGATGACATTGACGCTTAAAGTATTTGTAATATAATATGTTTTCCCTGTGGAGATTCTTTCCATGAGAAGTTACGTCCTAGGTAAGGGATGGAAATGTTTTTTTCAAGGATATTATTTCCACAGGCAGTTTCTGGAATATTTAGGAACTATTTGACCTGGATACATTCATCATTTGCATACAACATATGGGGCAGTGAGATAGACTACAATTCGTTTGAGACAAAATGATACCGATGAATTTCAATCTAACACAAGAACAAATAGACACAAGAGAATCAAACCAATGCGGACTGCAACAAAAACAGCAGACCAACTTTGGAAAAAAAATCATAATTTGTCTCAAAAATAAAAAAGTTGTTTAAGAAACTGTCATAATTTATTTGTGCGTTTTCCAAGTTTGTTACAAGGACGCAGTGGCAACTAAAGGAACAGCCCGAAAAGCGAGATGCATTTGCATTAGTGACGTCAGAGACGTGTAATTACTGCTGATTGACAAAGTGAGAGAAAATGAAAGTCTATAATTTACAAAGTCTATGATTTCTTCAAGGATAAAAATGACAGGGGGTGACCCAAGTATGCAATTGCTAAGTACATACAGCACACTGCCTGTGCAGCTGGGGTACGTGTCATCTCGCCAGCTCAAAAATTTGTTGAGAACCCGTTAATGCACGTGCATCTCGCTATTTGCGCTGTTCCTTTAGTTGCCACTGCGCCCTTGTAACAAACTTGGAAAAGACACAACAGTGATGACAGTTTCTTAAACAACTTTTTTATTTTTGAGACACAAATTATGAATTTTTTTTCTAGAGTTGGTCTGTTGTTTTTGTTGCCATCCGCATTGGTTTGATTCTTTTGTGTCTATTTGTTTTTGTGTTAGATTGCAATTCATCAGTATCATTTTGTCTCAAACGGACTCTTATATGACAACACATATATAAAGCATTTGTCCTGTGAAGGCCTGTGTTTGATTCCCGGAATGGATACTATGTGTGAAGCTTATTCCTTGTGGTTAAACTTTGCTAAGATCATTTATAACTCCACTCTTTTACCAACATCATTACAGTAATTTGGTGAAATTGGGATGTACAGAGTGTAAACTGTTGTATGATCCTTGACTCTAACCCTGTTCAGTGACAAGTGAAATGGATGATGCAAGCCGTTACCTTGTATACCTGCACTTTAACATTAACATTAGTTGATTCAGATTGGGAACAGCGAGGGTTCAGATAAAGCACCATATAAGGATAGACATTTTTAGCATTCACCAAACTAGTCATTATGTTACTTCAGATTTCCAGAGACATTCTATTAAAAATTGCAATAAACTAGAATTAGTCTCTCACTGTGACAAGGAGTGTTGCCTGATTATGTCTGATTTATGATATTAAATTTGCTAATACTTTATTCATTAAGTGCCGTACACTGTACACTGTCTATGTTTAGGAGTATTTTGATGTGTTTCCCAACAATGGCACCGTGTATGTGGCCTCCCAACTGGACAGAGAGTCTGCGGAGAGAGTTGTCATCAAGATCCTAGTGCGAGACGTCAATGCATGGCAACCCGTGGATCAGACTGCCACAGGTAGAACATTGCACCCCAGTGTCATTCCTGAAGAGGGAATAAATCAATCATATTAACTCCTATCATGGAAATTAATTTGGAATCTTTGGACAAGTAGTTGTTATTTAATGGAGAATGGATGAGTCTTGACAATTTGTTCATGAGCTGATATATACATTGCCATAAAAATTTTAAAATCCTAAATTACAGTTTATGTGTGTAACTTATGTTCCTTTGCATATTCTGGTAAGAAATAAATTGCACATAACTACTCTTAACTGCAAAGTGATTCTGACAATCATTTCTGTTCTGCTTCAGTGAATGTTTCTTATCAACTGATAAAAATGTAGAAAGGCAATAAATGCAATAAATATAGTTGCTTGAGAAATAATTTTTCATATAAGTTAGGTCTTAGAAAGATCAAACGTTATAGAAGAGTGAAGCAGAATGAGTCCTGTTGAGTAATTACATCCAATGAACTATGGGTAATTTGTTTGTTCCAGCGACCTTGACAGTGACCTTGGAGGACTACAATGATAATCCCCCCTTGTTCCTCCCAACCCCTACATACAGTGCCAACATCTCGGAGGGCCAGGATGTCGACAGTGAGGCTCTGCGGGTGGAAACAGTTGACCCAGACAAGAACCAGCAGGTTACATACACCATTAATGACAGATTTGATGCCTTCAAGATAGATCCACGCACAGGTGAGACTCAAGACTTCTCTCTCTCACAATATGAAACATCATTACCAGAGAACCGTGATATCAGACTAAACAGATTCCATTGGGTGTCCAAACCAAAACATCTGTGAAATTGTGATTGGATAACTGAAATTCTGTGATGATACCAACGGTATATATTGTCACTGACAGGTCTTAAGACTAGATTGCGGGTTGCGGGTTCGATCCCCGGCTGCGTCATACCAAAAATACGTTAAAATATGGTACTTGTTGGTCCCTGCCTCGCGCTTGGCATTAATGGGTACAACAAGGACTGGTCGGCTCGGAGTCAGTATAATGTGTCTGAGTGGGATATTCATGCTTCACTGCGGCATGGTATCTCAGTGAGCAAGCACTATAAAACCAGCTTGTCTGGGCTAGTACAAATAGCCACACATACACATACACACGCATGCACCTCCTCATATGAGCGAAATGATCTCAAGCATGATGTTAAACCCAATTTCACCTCACCTCACCTTAAGACTATACAGCATAAAGTATGGGTACGTTGTCCAGCCATGAAACAGTGACATTCTCTGACGAAATTTTGATGCAAAATACTTTTACCCATGTTTGAATTGGTTCAGCTTTTTATATTATCTGTTGAGTGGACAATACCTCTGAATATAGGAAACTAACTTATGCATAAATATTCCTCAAACCTGGGCCATTATTTTCCCAGGTAATCAGGCAGCTGAATTAAAGCATTGTTTTAAGAGGGTTCCTGAAGACAAAAGCATACAGAGCAAATATCAGTTTTGATGATGTGTTGTCTATGTTCAAGCTATATGTCTCATAAGTCTTATATCCTTTGTTCAGGTATCATCCGTCTGAAGCAGAAGCTGGACCGAGAGGCAAGATCGTCACTGCAGTTCACTGTCATCGCCACAGACAACGGTGTTCCTGTTCAGAGCTCGTCAGCAGTGGTATTCGTGAATGTGTTGGACATGAATGACAACTCCCCAATCTTCGTGCCTCATAACCGCACCGTTCGTGTCTCGGAAGATGCAAATATTGGACATGTAGTGGTCACCCTTGATGCCGCGGATGCAGATATCGGAGACTTTGGAAAAGTCTTTTATTTGCTCGATGGGGTCAACAATGACGGAACATTTGTCATCAACAAGAGCAGTGTGAGTTAAGGTTAACTGAAAACATTAAGTTTAGTAGGAGGACATACGAGGGGCTAGTTCTCCATAGACATTCATCTTCACAACTAATGATCGACTGCTAGATTGACTGATATTGTGAACACAGGTAGTTTGGAGATCGAGATGAATTGTGAAAGGGAGGTGGTTTGTTGCATTCTCTTGCTCAGGCAGATGTTTCAACTGTTGTGCCAAAGTTCATAGTATAGAAATACATGTTGGTGTTACTTCCATTTAGTTTTACTGTAAACAATAAATAGTAATAAACCAGGAATACTGACTCAAGTATTTGCTGAACAAGGAGTTAGTGTTTGGATATGATCACCTTTGAAAACTCTCCCCTGGTTCCATACTGCTAAAATCTGTCATACTGCCCCTGTTCTGTGGATTATTGACAGTAAATCTGATTCATGTTTTTCATGCTATACAATAGTTGCTGTTATTTGGAGAGGGGTAAATATTTGGAAGACATGTTTGTTTGAATTTGTTTGATAGGTTGCTGTTTTGGTTTCAGGGCGAGATTACTGTAGACAAACCTCTTGACAGAGAATTCCAGGATGAGTATACACTGGTTGTGGTTGCCAGGGACAACCAGAAGGAACCACAAGACCAGAGATCAAATAGGACATCCATACTCATCCAAATAGAGGATGTCAATGATAATGCTCCACAATTTGCCGTCATTGGTTCACAAAGTATCCCAGAGTCGTCTCCCCTTGGCAGCAGTGTGTACCAGATTGTGGCGACCGACAGTGATGCTGGTGATAATGGAACTGTTGTGTACAGTCTTGGAGCTGATTCCAATGCTACAAACAACAGGAATGAGGACCTGTTTGGCATTAATGCTGTGACAGGTATCATCTCGGTCCAAGCTGACCTTCACAACACAGTGGGAGTGAGGTATGTTACAGTCAATGCCAGGGATATGGGGTCTCCACAACGCTCCAACTCCACAACTCTCTTCCTGGAAGTTCTTGATGTCAATGATGATGCTCCCCGATTTGTGGTTCCTGATCCAGACAATCCTGTAGTTCTTATTAAAGAGGTGAATGAAGTTTACATCCTCATTTTCATGAAACACATTTAATACTTCTGCATATGTTATTCAGCATATATGTTTCCACATAGATTTACCATGTAACATACTTCAGGCTGAAATACTTAAAAGCGTTAAATTAACTTGTAAGCAGATAATTTTGTGCATCAGCTTTCTAACTATTTTCTATACTAATATAGAGCAATTATGTATATTTCGGTATTGGAGCAGATCTCTAATCTGTCTATCTTCCTCTCAGGATCAGCCTGTTGGAACCCACATCATTACACTGCGAACGCGGGATGACGACTTCGGCCGTAACGGAGAAGTTGTGTATACACTGGTGGAGACTGAGTCGCGCCTGGACTGGCGGAAATTCCGTGTGGACAGGCTGACCGGCAACCTGACCAATAGGGAGGTGCTGGACAGGGAAACACATGAAAGCTACGAGGTGTGTATGTATGTCGGAGGTGTTTGGTGTTACCGGTATGAAATAACATTATATTATGTTTGGAAACTACTGTTATATTGTGTTTTTCTAAATCATGCATGTTTCATCTTATTAGAAAAGTTACATCAGTCACATGTTGAACTGAAATTCCGTTATCAGGAACACTTTTCCTAATATCAAAAACTACTCACAACCATCTTGAAGTATGTGGTGTCTATATATACCTGTTTGTATCAAATACAGCTTGTAAAAAATATAGTCATGCCACAATTTTTATACAGTGTTCATCTGTTATTGGTGTTAAAGTCAAAAGGTTGACCGATATCACTTGGGGATTTCCTCCCACGTCAGGCAGCAATGACCCACCTCTTCCTTGTGAATTGTCTCCCACTGAATGCATACCTCTATGCATGGATAGTGATTAGCATCACACACCATTCAGTTCAGGGTGTGACTGGTGTCAGTTGTCACCATTCAGTTCAGGGTGTGACTGGTGTCAGTTGTCACCATTCAGTTCAGGGTGTGACTGGTGTCAGTTGTCACCATTCAGTTCAGGGTGTGACTGGTGTCAGTTGTCACCATTCAGTTCAGGGTGTGACTGGTGTCAGTTGTCACCATTTCAGTGTCAGGTCACCATTCAGTTCAGGGACTGGTGTCAGTTGTCACCATTCAGTTCAGGGTATGACTGGTGTCAGTTGTCACCATTCAGTTCAGGGTGTGACTGGTGTCAGTTGTCACCATTCAGTTCAGGGTGTGACTGGTGTCAGTTTCTGTTGAGTACTAATGGCCTCCATGTCAGCTGATACATATTCTCCCTCTCAACCAGCTGCTGGTGCGTGCCACTGACCGAGGCGTCCCCAGGAACTACTCCACAGACCTCACTCTCACAGTGCGTGTCAAGGACGTGAATGATGAGAAACCCAAGTTTGATCGGAGTCTTTACCCGACACCCTACCCTGTTGCGGTGGCCGAGGAGAGTGATAGTGCTTGTGCTGCGGGAAGTGTAGGCATTGCAAAGGACAACGACATCAACTTCAACTTTACCATCATCTGTTACTACATTTTCGGTTAGTAATTTTCTGATTAATTAGTGTAAGGGAGGTGGAGGTGCAAGAGAGTCTTCATGGTGTTGTGGCACTGGAACATCACTTTAAATAATGACCCTAAAGTTATGACTCCTATTGAAAATGCCGGGAAGTGCTTGTTTAAAATGTGGTCTTTAATGATCCTTAGAATAAGATGATTATATCTCTGTTGTCGTTTTTGCTCTATAAAGTTGTAACGTTCAAGGTAAAGTTGGAACACAATAATGGTCTGGTGTACTACAAAGAACATTTACCTTTAAATAGTAGTCAACTTTTATATCAGTACTAACACAATGATGAGCTTATATAGTGAGAGGGTGTAATGTTTATGGTTTCACATTGATGTATTATATTGAAATGTGATGCCTTCATAGTGAGTATATGGAACCCTCGAGGAAATTGCAAGGGCCTTTTCTGTCTAACACTAACTCTTCCCTATTTACAGCTGAAGAAATCCAAGGAGCGTTCACCCTGAACAAGACTGGTGAGCTGTGCCTGAAGAAGAAACTGGACAGAGAAAGGTTGTCCTCAACCTCCCTGATAATCCAGGCTTCCCCCTTCTGTTATGCGGACATCGAACCCAAGACATTTGTGAGACCCGAGCCGGGTGAAGAGCCCCAGGGGTATGACAGCAGTGACTTGACATTGCTGTGGGTGAACGTGTCCATCACCGACATCAATGACAACCCACCACAGTTCAACAGGAAGGACATGGTGCTGGGTGTCACCAGGAGCACGCAGTTCGGACAGATGATATTTGAGCTGAAGGTGAGAAGCAAATGAGGGAGTGAAGTGATAGGAATGGTACAGATGAATTTCCAACAGGAAACCCTATTGCTACTTTCATTTTTCATGGACAAACTTGTTTTTGTGTGATAGGGATGTTGTCATCCACAGAAAACCAGTTGCTCATCAACCAAACAATTCAAGTGAGTTTGTAATAGCTCCTCAGCCTTGTAAGTAATTTATGTAATGATACAAGAACATGCATGAAAAGTCCACTTTATTGCCATAAAGACCCCTTCAACATTTATTAGTTTAGGTGTTTTGTTATGGAATGATGCAGTTATCTCCTTAGCAAGCATTGCTATAGTACACCTGTTTCCCTTCAGAATGAAGTGACTGACAAGGATTCTCGTGCGTGGGGAGTGAACAGATTTGACCTCTCTGGCAACATTGTCATCGAACGTGAGGATCTTCGTAATGAACTGGCTGAGATGGGAGTAGACAAACCATTCCTTCTCTTTCCAAATGGTTCACTGAAGACAAACACCTATTTCAAGCCGACCATGTTTGGCTCCTTCTTGCTGAATCTAGTGGTTTATGACAAGGGAGGTCTCAATGATTCAGCTCAGCTCAAGGTAAGGAGGCAGACTTGTGACAACATATTAAGATGGAATAATTCATATAGTGTGTTGGAGGTATGCCCCGGGATGAAGCATTTGTCACTTGAAAGAAACAAGTTGAAATTACTAATGATTGTGCAGGCAACATCTCATTATTTTTTCTATAACCAACCGTCGAGACATAAATTCTGTATGCTACTTCGCACAGAAAACATTGACTTGTTGTTTAAGCTAGCCCTTGTGTTGTACCACATACTTATGTTGAGAGAAAAAATGTAAATTGTGAATGGTTGTTTATGGATTTATTGATGTTCCTATAACTCGCGTATTTACAGGTTGCGCATAAATGCACTGCTATTATTGTACACATGTACTATTGGCCTCAGGGCCACATATACAAATAAATATGTCTGTCTGTGTCTGCAACATCTCATGTCTTATTTGTAATTTTGCTGCTTTATCAGTTCAGTGGGCTACTGTACCCTCGGATTATGTTGTTTATTTAAACAGGAGTAATAAACATGACATGTTTTCATTTGTCAATGTGCTGTTTCAGATATCCCTCATCAATGATGACCAAAGGCTGAAGGTTGTGTTCAGGAGAAGGCTGGAAGATGTCAGCTCAGTTAAAAACTATTTTACAGAGTGAGCTTATTTTTAGATTTAGAAATGATTGTTCGTGGGAATATTGCTTGTCTTTAATAATAATACCAATGCACATTTATAATGTGCCTGTATCCACACACTTGTGCTTATTGTGGCGAATTTATGTAACTTAAACACATACAGCAAAACCTCTCCAGCCTGAAGTTAATGGGACAAGCAACATATATATATACCTGGTATAGGTAGCTCAGACAAATGATGCAAATTGTACGCTATTGTACTGATTCATATTCAATAGATTTTGCTTCAGTAAAATGATAAGTAAGAAATTACATACAAACTTTATCTTACCTTTCAGGCGGTTACGGGAATATCACTGGTTACAGGATTGTAGTTGACAAAATCTCCACACATGAAAATGATGCTGGAAAACCAGAGATAGAAAAGTAAGTAATTAATGTTCATCATTACAACATGGAGTATACATGAGATGTGTTTCAGGTGACAGAGAAAATTGTAAAATATTCATGAGTTAAAACATGAAGAAAATAGAGTGCAAATAATGGTGTTATAAACTTGTGATGGTGGGTTGGGAAAGTGTGAATAAGGGAGATAACTCTTGTGTGTCTGCTATTCCCGATCTATACATAATTTTATGGTTTGATTATATTACTCATAAAGAAATCGGTTGAATTATAATGATTCAGTTGTTACCTATTAATTATGATTTCTTATCATTCAGGACTGACGTGTTGATACACGGAGAGGACCCTAAAACTGATAAAGTCATACCAGCTGAAGATCTACTCAAGTAAAGCATTTCATTTCTGTTGATGTCTATAAGAGATTTTGTGGATAACGTAAACGAGATGCCTATGCATAGACAATCATTTACCTCTATTCTCTTACCAACCCTGTGCACATTTGCATGTGAGATGTTTGAGATGAACAGTAGCATTGACTGTCACTGTAGGGAGGGAATTAACACAATCATTTAGCACATGTTTGACGTAGCTAAAGTTGCAGAAACATGGTTCTGGATCATATTTATTCATGAGATGCAACAATTACTGTTTCAGGTCCATAGATTTCAATGCAGAGCATATGATAGGAATTCTCAACGATTACAATATTGAGAGAATAGTGGTGAGTTTACAATTAATGTAAGAGATGAACTCAGGATAACCGATTGGAAAGCAGTAAGAACAGTTTGGTTGAGTAAACCAACAGTCTGTTGTGTAATGGACTGTAAACCAACAGTCTGTTGTGTAATGGACAGTGTTGCACTCATGTCCTGGCTTGTCAGATTGATGGTGAGGAAGTCCAAGTGATGCAGGTTATATTATGGAGCACAGGTCTAGAGTGTCCACCGGCCAAACATCCTCATCAGGGCAAACCCTGAATATAACTGACTATCAGAGGATCCTGGAACTGATAAGGAGGACAACTCTACAATGAGTTATTGCACCTTGGCCCCCTGCAAGAGTAAAATCTAGAGATGAATGTATGCTTTAACTGGGTTTTCAAACATTTTACAAGATATTTTATTGATACTCAATTCACATAAGAATGTTCTTAGCAAATCCCAGTGAAATTTAACAGAATTGCCCACAGTGAAGTGACTATCATTATGGAATAGTGTAAATACTGTGTATTTTTTCACTTTCTAGCCGACAAGTTCCACAACGCCACAAAACTCTACAGAGAAGGAACTGAAGATGGCGCTGATCCTGGTGGCGGTTATCCTGGGAATGTTGCTAGTGGTCGTCGTTGTCACATTCTACATGAGTCGTAGGAAGTCAGTACTTGACACTTCCTCAACTAATGTCAGCTGACAATTCGATATGCAGCAAAAATTATTTATTCAATTCTTAATCTTATCCACATTTTGCTACTTTGAAACTTAACTTATGCAATCTTTTGTTTCTTTTAGTTAAATCTCTAAATCAACTCGGGAAAATTTTGAAATTTAAGAACCATTATATTGTAATGCTTTAAACATTTTACATGCAATATGTATATTTATGACACACTACTTGACTGTTTAGGTACCAAAGAAAGCTGAAAGCTGCAACAGCCATGGCTTATGGTATGTATACTTAGATGTATATCTGTGATCATGTGTCAGGTGATGCCTGTATCTCTATAGATATATCTGTTGTGTATATAGTGAACAATGTTCATATCACTATGATGAAGACTGAACAGTTTGTAAACAGATATTTCAGATATCTGAGCAAAGTGTCGTTCACTGTTAAATATTTATGGGTAAAATATTAATCGTGTTTGTAGCGAGGTTGTAGAAGTCAGCAATATCTATGTTCATGCAATATATGACCACTGTGCCATGTTTTCTGCAGTCACACGTAACGGAGCTGGTAGGTTGATATTTTGTCATTGTGATTGTCCCCCATCTCTCCTTGCGTCTATGTGGTCTCGGTGACTGGTAACACATTCACACTGGTCACTGAGAAGTCCAGGGTTCCTTCATGTCATGTTCAGTTGTGAGGAGCAGTCACTCTCCAAGGTCCATGTTATGGTTGTCCTCAGTGAGACCAAGAAACAGAGGCGATCATCAAGATACACTTAAACACTCTTTATCTTGATGTCATAGTTTATAAAAGCCTCAGCAGTTTACCTTGTAATGCAGTGTTTACCTGTTGCCTTTAAAAATAAACATTAAAATGGCAGATTTCATTTTGAACAAGTTTTTGAAACAGACCTGATGAGTATGTGTCATCATGTCAAACTATATTCGTGTATAACTGAGAAGCTGCATTGTCTGCTGTCCTTGTAGTCCCAGTGAAACAAGTGACACAGTGGACCTGAAGGAACCTTGCACTAATAATGACAAAAACCTTGACTGAACCCTTGGTGAAGATAGATCATCGGCAGTGTTCAATAAGGTGTCTTAGTGCTAGGTCTACGTGAAAGATGACGATCCAAGCACATGAATATCTTTGAGAACACGGTAGATTGCTGCCATTTTGCTAGTTGCAGTATGTGTGTGTTAACAGAATTTGGTTGCCTATGGAAAAACTGTTCCCAGAGTCTCTAATGATCCACTGTGACACTGCAGAAACATTACCTGAACATAATGACAGGGATCACGCCTAGCCTTAGTGCTAGGACAAGTGTATGGTGGAGTATTGGGACACCAGAGGAGTGTTACAACCACCCATATTGCCCCTTTCCCACCGCAACTGATGTGGCTGCTATAACCTAACACTTTTGTGATTGATGTAGAATTTACATTGGTTTCTTGCGAGGAAATCTAGACTCTCGTGTGAAATCACTCTGGGTACACTTTCTTTAGGGAACCATTTCTCTCAAAAGAACTATCGTCCAGCTGAGTACTGTGTGAATGTCCACTGTCCTGGCATGGTTGTATTCAATAGTACATCTATGTTTACATACAGTTAATTTTGCATGTGAATCTCTTTCTTCTTCTGTTTGAACTATGAATACTACATTCTGCTTGTAATATTTATGCACATGGAAGAACTGTGATTTTATATATGTGATTAACCAAATATTAATGAAAAGCTATTTCTATGGTCCCGTGATGTGAGTCCATCTGTGTATGTAACATGAGGATTAGCCTTGTAACAGTGTGCAACCTGTGGAACTGTCAAAACACAAAGGGAAATGATGTCCTATCCTGGTCTGGTCTTCTTACTGAGGTCTGTACGAAGGAAATGGAACTGCTCCTCAAGCATTTAGAAATATCTGGAAAAGTTTGAATTTAAGATATATATTTCCACAAAAGCATCTGTCTTAAGTTCCAACTCTTGGTTGTACAAAAGAATATTATATCACTCACAAGAAAAACTATTATTGTGTTTGAGGAAAACAGGCTTCTTTGCATTGGCAAGCTGGTTTCATTAAATGCAAATATTTTGATACTTTTGTTTGAATGTCTGTGAAGAAAGAGTGTTGTGTTTTCACCAATGCTGGTGTTATGGCTATTTCAGACACTGCTTTGAGCCCAGCTGTTTATCGCCATAAAGGTGTTACTCCACTCATAGTTTTTTGTGTTTCTACATTATTTGATTTGAATTCTTCAGTGTAGAACTAGATATGTTCTAACTTTGGGTTTGAATTTCAGGGTTGATTATCTAACAACCTCTTTCAAGTCTCACACATGGAATATATAGCCTTTGGAAAGTTGTGGAAATTATTATGTCAGCAAATACAAGCTACAAAACTCATCATGATCATAAAAGTCTCTGATAAATTGCAGAATCCTGTGTGATGCCAATGAAATCATCATGTGTTTATGCAGGACTATGAAATAATATATAGTTTGAAAATTATTTTCAAAGACAATTATATCTAAGGACAAATAAACATAATAAATGATATCCCATTTTGAAACATTATAAATCTAATTCATGAACTTTCTTTTGTAGTGTTTATTGTAGATACATTTATAAGAAAATAATTTCAATTAACATTTTTTAAGACACATGGTCAGAGATTTTAGCAAGGCAAGAAAGTAAAATGGCTGACATAGATGATCAATACATTATTCCCATGATTTTCCATGTATATTCTTCATGTGTTTTACCCTGGTTGGTGTTGATATTGTGTTTTTGTCTCTCCCAAGGGTTTCTCAAACTCCAGGTATCACGGGTCTAACGCCCGACTTGACATAGGCTAGGCATGGGGGCATGCCTCACAATCGGTACTACTTTAGTGACAACAATTCCTGAGTGGCAGTTCCTCTAACAGCTTAACACTAACTTTGTATTCTAGCTGAGTAACACACAACACCGGCTTATCTTATTATCATCACGCTATTCTTTCCCATAACAGGATAAAACCAGCTCTAATCTGTATTGCCCTTATTTCAGTGTTATTACGTATATTACTGTGATGATCATATATTTTAAAAACATTGTATTATTTTATTATGGCTTTTTTTTATGAAGAAGGGATCAGAATAAAAATATATTTTTCTGTGCTATGTTTTAGATCAAGATATACTTATGATTGCTCATTGTGCATGATATGTAACAGTGAGAGAATGTGAAGCTGTACGTTTGTGAAAACTAGCAACTACATAATTAAAGTACACTTTCCTATGATGTTCAATGTTAGAAGATTTAATATCTGGCACATTTGTCTGTTTCATAATTCCTGTTGTCCCAATGCTCATCTGACTACAATTTATCCAGATGTTATGTTTACACAATAGATAAACAGGACATAGACAAAAGCACACCGAAATACAATTTAAAACTAGTTACTGTATGAGCAGTTGTTGGGAAAGTAATATGGTCAGTTCCTTCTCAATGCATTTCATATGTAATGTTGTAACAGGGGCCTCAGTCGACTTGTACACAGACATATACAAAACAACTCATACTTTAAGATTGAAAAATTATAAATAGAGAAATAGTGAATGTTTTGGCACAGCCTGCCTGAAGGTATTACTCCAGGTATCCATTTGCCTCACTGTCTGAGTTTAGACAGAAAGAAATAACCATCATCCTTCTGAATTATGTCAATTTCTTAGAAGTCTCATACCAACTTTCTGAAAGGGCTGTAGTTTCTGTTTTAAGGACAGGATGTTGTAATGTAACAGTGAACATTTTGAATGTACAAGTTGATTCTGTGATTGTGGGGGCATGTTTATGACAAATGTTGTTAATCATTGCTCAATGTATTAAAGAGTTAGGTTTTGCATTAATGTATTATGTGGTAACACTGTAGATTATACAGGCATACCATACTTGAGTCGAAAACTGGAAAAGTTGACAGTGTTACAAATGTCTTATTCTCTTCACTAATGTCTCCCTTCCTTGCTAACACAGACCACCAGTGCACACACTATGCACCTTAGTACATGTGTATATACTTCAGTTGATGATCCATTTCATTATTTGATCTCTGATTTGAAATTGTAGTTACCTGTGCCCAGCTCTAACCTGCTTGTGAATATCTGTCAGGAAGTGTAAACAGATTTGTTGACCATAGTGAAAGACAACATGATTCACACCTTGCTGATGTATTCTGATCACAGACTGACAGATATTTCCGTGTGACTGTAAATGTGTATAGAAAATATGTGTCTTTGAATTCATATCATTTTAATGCACACAATATATGCAGGCTTAGTGTTTGCTGCTTGTTAGGATTTACTATTAGTTTTTAGTCCTTAGTGCTCTAGTTGAATTTAGTTGAAGTACATCCTGGTTCTAGACACATAGCTATGCACTCTGTGTATATATATGCATCTTAGAAGAGTAATAGTCAGTATGGATTACTGGTGTATCTATAGTGCACAAAGGATGTAAATCTTTCATGATTAGGTTTGTGTACAAGTTTGAACAAAGCTGTAGTGCATCTTATAATTTATTATATTCAGTTTAAGCAAACTTGCAAAAAAAAGATCACGTCATTAGTCAGCACAGATATAACTATTCATGACTTCATAGAGAGAGAGGATAATGTTATCGCAATGTTCATCCAGTTAGTACTTATGTGGCTGGAGGTGAATGAGTTGACGTGACGGTCACATTGAGGCTATTTGTCTGCTCCAGGTTCCCAGGACTCTGATCTGTACAAGCTGGAGATGCCAGGCACCAACATCCACTCCTACGAGAAGTGAGTATAAAGTCCTCTACAGACATGCGTACCAAGCAGGGAAATTTCAAATAATGTCGAAATTGTAATTTTTATCATTTCACGTCTGTTTAAATATTTTTCACCATGAGCAGTTAAATTCTTGTAAACATTTGGGATGTCATGTAGTGTAGATGATACTTGCATGAGTATTTTTGGTTTCGCTCCTATTTTAGGAAATAGTTCATGATTTATTTTTATAGTTTTTTAGCATTCATGCATTAAATCCTCCGAGGGTGTAGTGAGAGTTTTCCTAGATGTTCATCTCTTGGTTCTCCTGGTAAACCAGTAGTTGTGCAGAGGAAATATTGCTGTGTTCCTGTTATTTTCTGATGATTGATAGCATCCATTTTCATGAATTATACCTGGCATTGCTTTGTTTCCTCCCCAATAACCTCAGACCAAGAATGTATGAGGGTCAGACGAGATTTTAGCGTACGTGGGTATCCAAAATCTTCATGTTCCCTTTCCGTTTGTATGATAAAGTGTTTGTTGTTGCATGATCGGATTGGCTTCTCACTATTGACCAACAAACAAGATGGCTGAAAGTGTAGCTGAATCCACCAACACCTATTAGACATAGAGACTTGCTGACAACTGTCAATTCCTTTGAATCTTGTCTCATGTCAATCACAAATTCTACTTTGTGTATAGGTACAGTCCGTTTGAGTCAGAAACGGACCGATGAATTGCAAATGTTATCATAGTTATCATCATAAATATAAATAGTACACGTTTATCATTTACTAATACCCAACAGCTTTCTTATATTTGAAAATTTTCCGGACTCCACCAAAAAAGTTGTTTAACAAACTATCATCATTGAAAACGCAAAAGTTGTTATCTGTCGCGACGGGGTGAAACCGCAGAAATGGAACAGCCACTGTCTCGTGCGTGCAAGGGATACACATGCCTGATGAAAAATGAAGCTGAATGCTGTTATCTGTCGCGTGGCGGGTGAAACCGCAGAAACGGAACAGCCACTGTCTCGTCGCAAGGGATACACATGCCTGATGAAAAATGAAGCTGAATGCTGTTATCTGTCACGGCGGGGTGAAACCGCAGAAACGGAACAGCCACTGTCTCGTCGTGCACGGGATACACATGCCTGATGAAAAATGATGTTGAATGCTGACGTGAAACAGTTGATGATTAAAGTGTAAGATTTTTTCCGTGCTGAAGCCGAAAGGGGCAAACCATTTTATGCCATTAATAAAATTCCGAAAGCGGGCAGCAAAAGCTTTAGGAGTATCAGCAAGGGTACTGACAAATGTTCTGGAACACAAACATTGTGAGGGTGATGGGAAGCAGGTAGGGGTCGTGTCAAAATCACACAAATTAAAACATTTGGACAACTTTCAAAAGAACCTTGTAAGGCAGTCTATCAACAAGCTCTATTCTGAAAACAAATACATGTCGCTGACAATTTTAAAAAAGCATTTGAAGCAAGAACACAACCTCAGAGTATCAAAGTACACACTCTAGCGACTCTTACACCCTTTGGGGTATCGTTATAAGAAAATTTCGGGGAGAATAGGTCAGTACTCTGTGAACGCCCTGATATCGTTCGCTTGAGAAATAATTTTCTCAGGGTTATAAAGAAGAAGCGCGAGGAAGGATTCGAGCCAGTGTACTTGGACGAGACCTGGGTCAGTTGGTACCCGATGGGGGTGATAAGGGGTCATGTAGAAAGCTGCCTCTAGGGAAAGGAGAGAGACTAATCATTCTCCATGCTGGTTGCTCCAGCAAAGGCTTTCTCCCAGGCCGCGACTTGATATTCAGGGCAAAGTCCACAGATAACAGAGACTACCATTCCGAGATGAATGGTGCGATTTTCCTCGATTGGGTTAAAAACAAGTTGGTACCAGCTGTACCAGAGAAGTCTTTTATTGTAATGGACAATGCCCCATACCACAGCGTGCATGACCCCGACAGTAAAGCCCCGACATCGAACAGTCGAAAAGGTGATATGATATCATGGCTCGACAAATTTCAGATCGCACGGCCTTCAAAGGCAACGAAGCCTCAGCTATATGAGATCATAAAACCCACAAAGGTTAACCTTTCTACAGTTGACAGTTACATAAAAAGTAAGGGTCACGATATTCTGCTACTTCCACCCTATCACTGTGACCTTAACCCCATTGAAATGATATGGTGTATTGTCAAAGGAGATGTTGCCAGATCAAACACAACTTTTAGATTACGTGACGTAGAGGTTTTGGTTAAGGAATCCCTTAACAAAATCACGACTGAAACTTGGCAAAACTGTGTCAACAAGGTAGCTAACGTCATTGAACAAGGTTACTGGTCTCGGGATGGCTTACAACAGGCAACTGTGGCACCACTTGTCATCCCTTTAAGTCGTGACTATGACACTATGACAGACGAGGAACCGACAGGTCTCCCGGAATAGATTTTAAGATGTCCCCCGCCATGACTGGCTGTTCCGTTTCTGCGGTTTCACCCCGCCGCGACAGATAACAACTTTTGCATTTTCAATGATGATAGTTTCTTAAACAACTTTTTTTGGTGGAGTCAAGAAAATTTTCAAATATAAGAAAGCTGTTGGGTATTAGTAAATGATAAACATGTGTACTATTTATATTTATGTGGCAATTTTGTACAATGATAAAATTTGCAATTCATCGGTCCGTTTCTGACTCAAACGGACTGTAGTTGTAAATTTGCACATTTTAAATGCATGCGATATACCATACATATTTGTAACTGTTTTCTAAAACTATTTCAGAATGAACTTGTAATACCTCTTTGAGTAGGCTGTCCTCTGTTTTGTGCATGCATTGCATTGTAAAGACACTTAATAACTGCCAGTTCAGTTCCTTACCCTTGAGTTTTCTTTCCCTTCACATTTTCAGTTGGTTTTATTTATTTGACATGGATCTTGCTTCTTAACTACATTTCCAGCCTGGAGTAATTTTAGGATACAAATTAACACTTTTAAGGGTTTTAAACTGAGTTTACCTTCTTGGTGATTTGGATTTTATACTATAAATACAAATTTTGGTATTTGTTTCATAATAATAAATTTTGATAACCACTTGGACAGGTGTTTAATTGTTGTATGCTAATGTGCATCACCTCCGCCAGGAAGTGAGGTCCTAGGACACATCCTAGGAGTGCATGATTACCCCAGTGGATACTGTCAGTAAAGTTTCACTGTATATGTCATTCTACCCTGTCTCCCCTTCTATTTCAAATTGTTCATTGTGATGCACCACAGTCTACATCTCTATATCATGTTATATTGTAATATACAAAACTTCAGATATAAGCTAATGAAGATTAAAATGGATCACAATAATTTAAATATTCTATTGCTTCAATGACAATTATTACTGCTATGTTTTTACTTTAACACATTAAAGGACTTAATGGATAAGTCAATTTAGTTGTTTGCATTTTATAAATTGTGATTTCAAATGGATATGTGAAAATGTGTAAAGTCAGATTTAGCCTTTGACAGGGATGTGGGCAGTGTCACAACCCGCCCTCCCCTGACATTGTAGAGCTACTAGGAAAGCTCTGCATCATACACAACTAAGATTATTGTACATCTCCCCTTCCCCTCTACAGAAAGTCATTTCTCATATTGCCATCTGTAGGTTTAGCAGATCAGAGACCTTGTTGATCATCATTCTTAGCTATGGCTGAAAATATACAACACTTGGTTCATAGGCAATGACCTTTCAAGAGGGCATTGTCTGAGAAACAAACTTTGTTGTTTTCAGCCTGTGTGATATTATGTTTATAGCCCGTGTTGTACATTTCAGTGCCAACCCCATCTACCTGGAGAAGATCCTGCTGGACCAAGTGGATGATGACGGGTAAGTCCATCTTGAAGCAGGGGGTGGGCAGGAAGCATGTAGTCTCTTGTGGCTGAAAGTTCTAGTGTGTAACTGTTGCACTGTCTAGAAAACTAGTTCAAGGAAAGAAAATATGCAATAAAAGTTTAAATGAAATCATTTCTAATTTAAATGGACATACCTTGTCATGTTTCTCAAATATAGTGACTAAGGAAGATCAGTTTCTTCAGGATTTTTAAGTGGTCATATTAAGGCTTATGAAATTTGGTGATTTTAAAATAAATTTAAACATTCCAATGAAAGAATGAAGCAGTTTGAATTTATGTGGTGTTAGACTTTTTATTGACCATAAACATGTATTTTGAGGTAATGTTGATTGTGTCCATGTTAGACATTTACATATGTAGTCATGTGAAAGTATTAGATGATGTCAGCAGAAACTGGTCAGATAGGTTATAGGTGCACTCATTGCTGTATTGTTTCAGAATCTACATTCCTGTATTCAGTTGATATTGTGTTTCATTTGACTGTATCCAAACACATTCATTCTGCATAAACCCTTTGATGGTAGCTTGCATGCTCTCATATGTTTCATCAACATGGTGTGTTATTGTTTAGAAGTTTAATGTTCATTTGATAAGGCAGCTGGATGTAACATTTGTTATATTTGGGATTACACTTTCTTCGTATAGTACAGTTTCTAGTACTGAGAGGCTACGGTGGCTGAGTGGTTAGCAATTTGGCAATTTGTCGCCCTTCTCTGAGAGTGGGCTCGGATCCTGTGTGGAAATCCACCCCAAAAGTACTAGAATTTGTACTTTACTAAGAAAATGTAATTCCAAATATAACATATATTACATTCAAGCACTTTCTAATAGGTGTGGTATATACAAGACAGATTGGCATGTGACAGTTTGATTGTACTCTATCTAAAGAGGTGAAACCAAGTTATAATATGTATATTGTATGAAGTAGGTTGCTTTAAACCTGTATCTTGATTTCTTTAGTGAAGAATCCCAAAATGTTTTTTTTAAATGTGGCTGCATTTCCTATATACCAACTCTATATTACCGATCCTTGTGAACTTTGGCCTAGTAGCTGATGAACAGATCCCAGGAGTATACTCCATGTATGCTCTGTTGTATCCAACACAGTGTGAATCAGAATGACACCCTTCTGATATTGTATGACAGTTCATTCACATATATCCATCTTGATACTTAATCTAATACTATTCAATGTAGTGACTATATCTGTATCATGAACCAGCCTTTTCCCCAATTATTAAGTTGTGTAAGTGTGAGAAGCCCCTATAATTTAGCACCACAACACCGACATGTCAGTCATTTCAAGACTCACCTGTACCTAACTACATAATCCTGAACACTGGTATAGGCCTTATGAAACACCTTCTTACTAAACCCTTTAACGCCATAGAAGGAGAAATGAAACTCTTTAGTTGCTAAAGTGATTAATACCCTATGTTTCCATTTCAAAATTGTGTAGAAAAACAGCAACAGCTTAAGGTAAGGGAGCCAGTTGAAAGTGTTTAGTCAAATTTATTCTTTATTTTATTGTTTGCAGTACATTTCTTCTTTCCAAGCTTCAATGCACCTTCCTCCAACAAAACATTCCCTTCCCTGCTTCTGTAGGTTAAGATTGAACATTGGGGTATGCCGAATGAAATCTGACAAAACTTGACAAATGTATTCTAAATAATGGGACATCACATACAGATGGTGCAGTTGGTTTTTATCCATGTGTGCTCAATAGGTCAAATTAATGTTTCAAGCAAGTATCTTTTTCAAACTTCCATTGACAATTATTTTTCAAGTGACATTCCATCACTTAATATCATGTCTATCTGTGTGTTTTCGCAAATGATACTTTGAGATTCGTACCTTAATTTTATTATAAGTTTTCTTGCTCCTTTTTTCATATCTTGGTTTATGGATATTTTCTATGAGTTTAACTATTATACGTAATGAAAAAAAGTAGGATATTAGCTGATAACCCTTTGATGTGCAATTTAAGACCCTTCATTTTCTTTTTTCTTCATTATGAGGTCATTTGAAAACACATGTTTAAAACATTCTTTCATTTTGTCCATTATCTATACAGTGGTTGGAGAATAGATTAATTGTACACCAGACAATTACAAGAGGCCTTAATTTCAAAGCTGAAAGTTTCCAACCTTTCATCAGAGTTGCTGTATGACTCTGTACCTTGCACTTCATCTAACATTGCACAAACCCTTTTGATGCACATTCTCATCTTTCTGATGCATAACTGCATGCAAATATGCTTGACTTGATTCATGTGTGCAGTTTGTCATGTAGATAGAGAGTTTGCAGTTGCATGAAGATATTTTTCAGGAACTGAAAATCATTTTCCAAGACAATAAATGTGTAATATTCATATCTTTTGATGAAAGTTTAGAGACGTTAGTGTGTGTTATCGATATTGATATTCAAGATTTTATTTACTTTCTATTACATGTTCTTTTCTTTTATCTCTTACAATTACTTAGGCCCATTAACTAGTATGTTTTCAAGTGAATATGTTTTGACATTTACTGATCTTTCAGGTCTCCCATATATTCACATCATACGAGATCAGAACTATGTTGCTATTTATCTGCAATCTGATCAGTGTTTAATACTTCTTTTCATGTTTATTAAAGTTATGACAAGATTTCTATTGTCTATTTTCTTTCCATTTCCCCCATACAAATGTATGAACACGAACACACACACACACACACACACACACACACACACACACACACACACACACACACACACACACACACACACACACACACACACACACACACACACACACACACACACACACACACACACACACACACACACACACACACACACACACACACAGAGACAGAGACATATACAGAGTAAACATTTCTTGTATTGAGTGCATGTTTTTGCCGCTTCTATTTAAGTGTCATTATATTGCAGGCAAAACTCCCTGGATGAAAATGCTGTGGATCCTGGGCAACCGTTTGATGAGCAGGAGGTTTCTATGAATATCTTCCCTGAGGATAAAGAGTTCACAAACAGTCTTTCTTCTACTGACCTCTATCTTAAAGCAGCACTCAATGAACATGAGACATCTCGGAACCTGAAAAATCATGACATGTCCAAGAAGTTTCAGCACACAAATGGGAAGCTGAAGATTACCAATGGGCATGCACATAAGGACAATGATGTCATTACTACACGAAATGTTGATGGTTTGCAGACAACAGAAATCTAGGGATATTAATGTATTATTTATGAAAACAGATGTCAGAGGTGTTGAATCTTTAGCTATCTATGTGTGATGACTGTTTTCATTATAACCATAGCTGTTTATACCTTTTCTAGCTCAACACAAACAAGCCATCGATGATGAGTTGGTGTCTATGGTATGCTACCATAAGAGCCCACTCAGTATTTTTATATGAGTTTGATGATGATTATGATGAATTACATGATGTCTTTAAGTTCTTATGAGAGTGTGCCTGAAACTGCAACACTTGAGACTTTCCATTATTACCACATATGAATGTTCATGATGAGTGTTGTGCTCCAACAGTGCTTTCAAGAAACTGGACATGTGTTCAACATAAAGAATGATATTATTTTGTGCTTCATTCTTGTACCTGGTACGGTAATTATGTGTCTGGTGGTAGAGATGGTATGTGATATTGTGTCAGAATACAACCTTCAATACATCTTGTCACAGAAACACTTCATGCCATGCAGTAATTGCCACAATGGTAAGAAAGTGGCAGTCAGTCACTTATCAACATGAACTTTGGAGTGGTTTAGAAGTGGTGTGACAAAATAATCAGCAAAATGGACAATCAGTGATGTGTCGAGAAAGTTGAAGACAATATGGACACAGGGAAATCGTGAACATCACATTGTGGTATCCTCTGTGTTGTTATGACCAGAATATTTGTGCTGCACAGGATGTGACATGGATGCCAGATGCCAGTCAGTCACTGGAGACCCAGCAGTAAGGGTCAGCGGTCCTGATTGAATCCTTGGACATGAGAATCTAGAAAACATCGAAGTGAATATGCTTTAACAGATGTGAACGGATTTGGAGTAGAGATGGGAAATGTATAATGTTGATTAACTAGTTGACCACCTCAGCATGTTGCATGGCCTGATAGAGTCCTGATGCCCATGATACACTGAGTCATTGTTAGAGTGTGCCTCAAAGAGTCAAGGTATTGCATGTACGGGGATATACAGTTGAAGACTCAAGAGCATCGAAGAGTATGCATCCAGACTACTATCAAAGTTGTGAGAAGATGGAACACTAGCATGTATTGGCAGATAAACCTACAGCACAGCCTTCAGACAATCACAAACCTTGCATACAGATTAAGTCTGTGGTCGGCCAAGATGAACAACGGCACATGCTACATAAGGCTGATTAGGTTTGTGGATGTGTAACAGTTACGGTGTGAGAAATGAATATGCTTCTTCATGGTGGTAGGATGTGAGAATGTGAATCTGCATCAAGGTGTAAAATAGGATGACAATAGAACTTGATGCATCAATGTTTTATACAAAAGGCACTTTGTATGAATATAATTTGAATTGTGATATCTTGTTTATAGCAATCTCTTTAATGTACTATATGACATCATGTATATGTACTCAGGAATGGTGCATGCTTTCAGTGAAACTATTATTCAGTCTTTTTAATCAGCCGTAACCTGAACCGTGTTGGGTGTGTGGTTGATTTCTGTTCTTTGTTCTTGTCAGTTCCAAGAGTTGCATAAAAAATGTCATGATCACTAAGTAATCTTTTGTACTTTAAAAGTGGAAAATATTAAATATTGTGTTGTACTGAAGTATTGATGCAGACCTTATTGTGTTTAAACATTGTGTCTTATAACAACAAAGAAAATCAAAACCAATGAATGTGATTGCATTCCATGTCCATTAACATTGACTTGCCACATATTTTCATATTTGTCTTGACAATGAAACTGAATCTTGTTGATTTCCTCCATGTGTATAGACATGTATATAATAGGTCCACTCTGTTACATATTTTTGATGAACTAAGTTCCATATATTTTATATACAAATATAGTATGTATATACTATATAAAAAGAACCAAACTGAATTTTGGGTTAAGAATATAGATATTTATATATATATAACTGTTTAAGCATTTTGGAATTTCAGTTGCACAGATAACATACACAATAATTCAGTGAATATATGTACTTATCACCAAGTAATAATAGATGTAAATAATGAGATTATCTGTACTGATATCATGTATTGTTTTGTTTGTGTATATACACAGTACAAGTGAAGAGCAGCCAGTATATAGACCCATGTGATATGAAACGAAATCCACCTTGCTTGCTTTTATATAGTCAGGTTTTCATTTATAACTTTAGGAATTATTATTGTATACACAAGACTTTCCGTTTTTCATCAATAATGCTTTGGAATTATGGGATTTTAATTATTTTCATAATTATGCTTTGTTGATTTGGATGTTGATCATCATTTTACAGTGAAAAATTACTATCTGATACTACTGTGTTAGTTTATTCGTTTGAAATTTGGAAACTTTTTTCCTGTAACATTTTTACTATTGACTATTTAATTGATATCTTTTATTAGTATTTATTTCTCTCATGCCCTAAAGACTTTAATTATACTTTGCTTGTACATACATGTAGTAGGGTATTGATTTATGTACTCATCAATCATTGTACATATCCATTTATCTTAAACCAAGCCGGCCTTGGTTGTTGATGCACCACTCTGATTGTACCATCTTGTGCATATTGTGTCGAGAGTTAGGTGATCTATTGTCTACAAAGCTCATTGAAGACTTGAGACTGGGTGTTATCTAAATAGATGTGTCATACATATTCGACATGTTTGAGATATGACTCACTGTTTTGCACACAGTATCCTGTTTACCTTGCCCACCTCATTCATGATCAAAATGTATTATTTCTGTAGCAAGATAGAGTGGAAAATATCTCCAGTTAACGTGCTGAGGAATATGTAAGCATCATAGCTTGCTGGATATTTGATAATGTACTCATTAATTATTCACTCCAAAGGCAGAATCAAGTAAATTCTGGAGGATGAACAGTAGTTCCTACATGGATACAAAAAATATTAGGAATGAATGGAATGAGGTTGGAATCAGCATTTTCACATTTTTGTACACTTGCCTCAATGTATTGCAGGTAATGAGTTAAGTCCTGTGATATTTCTGGTAAGTGTGTAATTTATTTCCACGGTATTGTGTTTCTTGCCACTGAAGCTACAAGTTCCTAGTCCACCAGTATATAGCCCAATGAATGCCTCCCTAGTCTCTCAGCATTGTCTCAGTGAAGAGCCAGAGCTATGCATTTACTGTATATGATTTACATAAATCCTGTAGCTTATTCAAGTAATATCCAAAGCATTAAGAAGACTTAGTTTGATAGCATTATATACATGAAGATTGGCTTAATGAGTGAAGCTGCTACATGTGTGACAACTTGCATTAATCACAGCATGATAACACTGATACACTGGAACCAAGTGATTTAGATTTAGCTTCTGGGAGGGGGTGTTTACTACTGATTGACAATGTTATTGTTTGAAAGTGTGTCATATCACATAAACCTGCAGCCACTGTTTGGATAAATATTTGTTAAGTCAACATCTAAATATAAATATTGAGATTTAAATCAGTCTTGATTATCAGCCAAAACGGAAACGCCTTGTATGTAGATATACAGCATATGTATTTAACAGTAATGCTTGATGTTAGTCGTAACTTTGAATTAATGTTATTTGACCTTTAATCATGGATTGTTACAACTGATGACTTAAGGTTCCACAAGTATTTATCCAATGGCTAAGACAATGAAAACATCATTCCGTTTACCCTAGTGTATTGAAATCATTGATGCCTCAGTGATTTATGTTGAAATGTGTGGAAAAAGGACAGATTCTGAGAGATTTGTTGTCCATATGTTGTTATGGTAACTATGCATCATCCATTGTGATTCACATTGTTAAGAATAAATACTGTAAAATAATGTTTTTTGTTTTTGTTTCTATCTGAAGATATTCAGATTTCTTTTAGTCTTGGAATAATCAAGTAGTTCTAAGTGACTGTAATCTGTAGTGGGGATTCTAAAAGTCAAACATCAGTTTTATTGGGCCTCCTTCAAATTGTAAAATGGTATTCACTAAAATACGGAGTGTTCACGGTTCAAATCGTGACATGTAGCATATGTTTTGATATGCCCAAGCTATCGAAGCGCACATATAAGTTCATGTCATGCGTTAGTTGTCACTGACCTCTTGTTTACCGCAGCCTTCACAGCTGTGTCTATGTAGGTGACCGTTCTTCGATATTGCAAAGATTCTAGAGCTTAACATATGTCCACCTCCATTTGAATGGGCTATTATGTACGTGGCAGACAGCAGGGCTCGCATGCAATAGCTTTGTTTGTTTGTTATAGTTTCTCGGTCCCCTGAGAATAATATGGTGATATTATTCTATGCACCCAATAGTGTAACACTTTCGCCCCACACTTTTTAAAATCATTGGGAACCAATTATTTAGGCGTGCAATGTTCGTCTAGAGGATGTCCCATGCGTTGTGATTTCAGTTCCTGGTTTAATAGTCCAATTCCTGTTCACCCCAAAATATACGATATATAGTTCCCATTACCAACATAGTATCATGTATAGTCAGAGCTGTGACCTGGGTTATCGGGCGCTCGTCGTGGAGGCAACACCAGGCGTTAATGCTCATGGACGTTACTAGTAAAAACACACCAACATAACACACACATACACTGGTATTGTTGTTTTGTTATACAAGGAGCAGGTCGACATATTGCCTCCTCTTCCAGGATCCGTTGACGGGGAAGGGTCCCAGTTATAATGATGACACAGTTACACACATGCTGAATATTTACACACAAAACTGAGTCCGAGGATTCCCGGAAGACGTGTGAACCGCGCATCCACTTGGCTCAGTTGTGATTGGCCTACCACAGCTCGTAGGGCACTGTTACCGATAACAACAGTAACACACAGTGGAGGAATTTACATTTCAAAAGATAGGTCCATTAGACTTTAGGGCGTTATAGGCTACCGCGTCGCCAGGCCTACCTTCACCAGGGCTGCAAAGCGCAGAGTTTTATAACGTTAGATACATCTTCATACACACATTAGGATGCTAGTAATATGTACACACCAAGAATAAGTCCGAAGGTTTTGGAAAGCATGAGAGTCAAGCAACACTTGGCTTATTTCGGTCGGGCCCCTTCTAGCACGCAGGGTCGCTTTTAACATCAGTATCATGTTCATCTCTCGTAACCTGTGGCTGTCATCCGTTCCGTCCCTGGATGGATGTCCCCATTGCTCCCGTGGAGAGGAGTCGAGTCCAGGATAGAGATGACGGATAACCGGCGCCGTTGTAGACCGCCGGGGGTCCTCTTTCTTTCTCTCCATCCGGTAGGAGTGGCGCAGACGCTACTCGCTGTCTGAAAGTGTTACTCGCACCTTCCGTGTTGACCGGTACCATCTCCATATCGGATGTAACGTCAGGTTGTGTTCTACCACCTACTAGTTTGGCAAGCCAGGTTCGGAGAAATTTTTCTATACATTACTATTCCCCTAGTATTGCTACGATAATCACTATTACTGCCGAGAAAATATTCCCAATGTGTTACAGGCCCTGTATCCATCTCGACCATAGTGGTATCTATATCCCGTAACTGTTGTACCAGGTGGTTCATAGGAATGTATTTAACGTCCTTAAGCGGCGCAGGCACTTTTAGCGAAAGTCAAATTATTAAAATGTATACGCAAAGGTTCCAGCATTAGTATTTCCGGAGATATTAGCGTTATTGATTAAATTCTGAAAATTATCATTTACTGTATGGTACGTTTCACGGTGATAATAGGGTAATAACGTTAGATGATTATTGGAGGCAGAACATGTTTTCATTTAATCTTATTAGGCCTAATGGGGGGCTTTACAGTGAGGGTTCTAGTTTGTCTTACATCTTCCTTACACACAACTGTAAATACTGAAACATCTGTACTGGCAATAGCCCATTGACCCTTGGCGATATAGGTTGCCTGTGGCAACAAGGCCCGGAGTCGGACGTCTGTATCACAAAATAGTTTTACTTTGGCCGCATTTTGGGCAAACAAGGCAACAACGCACAATTGACTCAAATTGATGGGGTATACCGGACTTTCGATAAAACAATATTTAGACATAGGGTGTGTGCAAGTATTGCTTTCTGATTCTTTTAGCAGTAAGTTACTGGGTACGTTTAGCGTTTACGGCGATCAATGTTGTTTCTAATCTATACTGGGATAACATATTGTGAACTGAATTTGTTGCCCTTATTGAGTCGTTAATAGTGATTGGGACGGGTAGATGTGTGAACTCTGTAAATTTCAGAAATGTCCATTAATATCCAAAAGGGGTACATTAACAAGGACCAATATTTTGTCGTCGTAAAGAATAGTGCTACATTTTAAATGTTTATAGTAATCCCAAAGGGCTTCGTTAGGCTCGTCTGGAAGTTTGAATCGTGGGGGTAGATGTACTTTAACGTCGTTCAGGATGGTCAATAATGATGTTGGGGTAATAGTACTTGGGGACATGTGTCCTAACGATAACATATTTAGTTGTAATTGGATATGCTCTAGATAACCTGTTAGAAGATGAACAGTGTCCCTTATTTCTTGGATTGCTAATTCAATTTGGAGATACGTGGCTGTGGCCCATTCTAAATTTATGATACGTATATTTAACATATGCGTTACATTGCTATCTGTCTGTCCACAGGCGTAATTTTCCGAGAATTTTATTTATCTTATTCCTGTTTCCAGCTATTTCTACCCGGGAGGTATTTAGAATAATGTGAGGACTTTCGTCTACTACATGAGATAAGCGTTCTTGGTTATTTGCTAAGTTTTGAACATTTCGTTTATGCCAGACAAAATCGGCTTCTGAAACCGTACCAAATAAAAAACTTAAAGCTCTTCCCACAAAGGTAACACTGATCGTTTGGGTCTGGTCAAGTCGCTGATATTCGTTAAAATTGTTACCTAATGCTGTCAGGGTATTGTTGAGACTAACTGCATCTGCGTCTAATTTAGTAAACAAGTGAATTATTTTTTGGTGCCTTGACACCCAAATGTTTCTGAATCAAATCACGTAGAACAAAGGTCACGGTTCCAATGTCATTACGACATTTTTTCATGAAGAGCATAGTATGGTTCTAAGTCAATTACCAAAGTAAGTGTCCACTTTGATCGTGTAGTCGTGATATCATTAAGCTTTTGGAAAATCCGTTATCATATGCATCATAGTACTGCTGGCTATGCCAAACAATAATAGTAGGAGAACACTCATGTTGTGTTCGATGCTGCGAACTCCCTGGTCTTCAGATCCGGGTCCACGGCACCAAATCAAGTGTCTCCTGTCCCTTCGTGTAACAGAGTTGCACGGGCAGAACAGAACACAAGCACAGCAAAGGAAGGTGATCAGGTTTTATTCAGAGCTGCAGGAAGGCGTGGCAGACAAGCGCAGGGCTCGAGGGAGTCAGGAACATCAGCAGAGCGTAGTAGGCACAGGGCGGCTGGCTGGCTAGATGCTGCTCCTAGAGGAGATGTACTCCTTGGGGCGGTCAGAGGCGAGTCTCTCTGGACCACTGCACAGTGGGTCCTTATAAGCAGATTTCTGTCCGTCCATCATGCCACCAGTGGACAGGGGAAGGTGCCATTGTCCCTTGTTAAGTCTGAGTTACTGCTGTTTTTGAACCGTCTATGCACTACCTCCAGTGGACAGGCGAGTCATTACTATGAGATATTACCCTGTTTGTGGCAGGGCGGCATTGTACAGTTGGTCAGCCTGGGGTCACAGTTGTCTGGAGCTCAGCTCGTTAATCCGTGATACTGTCCGGCGTGACCATATGCCAGTTTCATACACAGAGCGCGACAGCTAGCAGTGCTGAGAGGGTAAGTTAATTATTTATTTGTTCTTGGCCGAAAATTCCAGGTTGTTTTATAGCTTTGTTTGTTTTGTTATAGTTTCTCGGTCCCCTGAGGAATAATATGGTGATATTATTCTATGCACACCAATAGTGTAACATGCACGACAGGGATTAAACAATACATACAGAATGCAAATGTGAAAAACGCCATTACACATTACAAACGGACACAAATTTACAGGCCACGTACAGATGATGGCGAAAAGACAGCATTTGGTTTAACAATAACTGAATATTATATGAAGTTTTCATCAATGACCGTTACGTGACATCTAGATGTTTCAGAACAACTGAGCCTGCACTGTATTCCGGTTATCTAGAGAGGATCGGGGAGAATTGTAATAATACACACTCAACAACAATGTTGTTTATGGTATATCACTAGCATAATGCAGAGTAACAAACAAAACCTCCACTGTCGGCCTGCGAGAACCGTTATGTAAATACATGCATTAAAGTTCAGAAACGTCATGTACATGTTTCTTTCGTACATGCCATAAAGTATTCATCAATGATAGATCTGTATTTGCGCAAACAACTTACAGCTTAATTTACTCATGTCAAAATGTCCCCAAGTTTGCATAAGGCAAACCTCAACTTACACCGTCTCTTACCACATTCCTGATCACACACCGACTGTAAATCATTGTACAGTAAGCAAACTGACTGACTGACTGAGTTCTGGTTTTACGCCGCTTTTAGCAATATTCCAGCAACATCACGGCGGGGGACACCAGAAACGGGCTTCACACATTGTACCCATGTGGGGATTCGAACCCGGGTCTTCGGCGTGACGAGCCAACGCTTTAACCACTAGGCTACCCCACCGTCCCAGTAAACAAACCTACACTGTTACACGGACGGTATTTACTACACACAACTGTCAAAGTACTGTTCCTCAGTCGCTCAGTTTACACTGTTACACAGATTATTCACACCAGAGTACTGTCAGAGTACTGTTCCTTAATCCCACAGTGTATATACACTGTAACACTGACTAATAATAA